GTAAAATCTCATTTTCAAGAGAGACCTGTCAGTGGTAACACTACCACACAAAGTTACAGACAGACAGGACACTAAACACAGAGGCAATAATGCAGGTTAGCACATGCACCTATGCAGTGTTATTAGTTTATGCATAATAAGGAAATGATGTATTGTAGTGCTGATGTTGTCAAATGAATCCAATGTTCTGCTCCACTTCTCAATTGTTTTTTTGTCCATACAAACTGCTCCCATGAGGCTTTGAAAGCCATTCTGTGACTTAAGTTTCATGACATATCTTGTTGCTCATTATTAAAATAACTATTACTGTATGCTTTATTTGTTAAAATGTCTAAGAAGGTAAAACCTTTACAGCTACTTCAAGTGTACTCTTTCATCTTAGAATACCGAAAACCGGTCAAACCAGGTGGAACAGCGGCTTCAAAAGAGGCCAGGATTTAGCTCACTGATACCAGATGGTTTGGATTTGTTGCATCAGTCTTATCCAGTAGACAATGCACGGCAAGCTATCTTGTATTATAAATGCAAAGATTACTTGCAACAGTGCTGACAGCCCACTTTTGTTTGACAGGCTTAGGCTAACATGATCACTGTTAAGCCTTCATCATGGCCCAAAAGCATGACACCATTGCTGGACAAACTTATATTGGGCTAGTAGGTTGAACAGCTGTGATGGCTGTGCTCCCAACTTCAGTACCATAAGTGATTTACTGCATATGAAATCAGTTTTCTCCTACGAGAGGCTTTGCGAATGAACAAAAAAGAAAACCAGTTCAAAAGGAGTTCATCATCCAGTTCACAAAACTACAAAGAGAGTGTGTGTGTGTATGTGTGAACAAGGGATGGATGAACTGTAAACATAAACTGCCCTCCCAGATTAAGTGTGTTTATAAGTTGTGGTTTCACAGGGAGGGTACTCGCAACCATGTAAACAAACAAACACATACACACTCACATGGCCACCCAGACTCTCAGCTATTACCCACGTCTGGCTAGTTTTTCTGCGGCCCCATTATTCTTGCCACCTTGTTTGTTTCTCTTGTGATTTGTCATGCTATATAGGCAGGTATAACATCAGTGTATACACACACACATACACATACACATACACATACACATACATACACACACACACTGTACAGTACTGTGGGATCACTCCACTCTCCTTTCCAGGGTCGTGTACAGTAAATGCTGATTTGAGGATAGCTGATAGTAATGTTGGAGATCTTTGAACAGTGTTTTGTAACACAACACTCTGCAGCCGCTGTCCCTCATCTAGCAACTTCTCCCATGGCAACGACCCTAGCATTATCCTGCTTCCATGACAACCCGTAGTGAATCCGACTTGACCTTCACCAGTGATTCAGTTTCTCTCCATCCACCTCCATTCTCTCCCTCCCTCCAACTCTGTCTCTCTTGTTCTCTCTGTCTCTCTCATTGCAAACTTCCTCTTTTTATTTATTTTTCTGCTTCCCAGCCCACATTCTGTTATTCTGTTTTTCTTTCACTCTACCTGTGTGGGTGTATCATTGCCTCTGTTACACAAGCAGTCAATAGCATCTACACCAGCTGATGTCATACTTCAGGGGACAGTCTGTTTGGATGCACCCAAATCCATGTCCATGCTTCCCTCTATGACTCAGTGGTTTGAGCTAGCGGGCATGTGGCTGCATGTTGCTAAGCTGCAGGTGCAGATCAACCTGAGCTCACCTCCCTACAAAGAAACTATTGTTTTCTCTCAGCCAGGGAAACCGGCAGGGGTGAAGCGGGTTTGCAAATATTGATGCAGTAATGACAAGTATTCAAGAGTTGATTTGCTGGAGTGTGTTTTTGTATCGGTGTGTCGAATTGTTAATTCGATGCGTGTTCTTGAGCTTGTCACTGTGGCTATCGATCTATCTGTCATGACGCCTCCCGCTGGTATGCGGATATCCTCTTGAGGCTGGCAGCACTTACAATCGTTCTCACTGGTTGAGTCAAGCCCGCTAGATAATCTTCTGCTCAAAACAATAACATTGCACAGCGTGTTCAAATGTTCCACATTAAGCCATCTTTATTGATTCCTGATTGAATTATCTGCTGTTAACTGCCCCTGAAGGTTGCAGTACAATTTTCTGTGTTGTGTGATATGATATCCAAGTTGCCATGGGAACTGTTTGCATCTCGAAGTGTGAATGTTTCTTAGTTTTTTTTATGTCGTTGGCTCATGCATTGAATAGGAATCAGAAGAACAGATGAAATCTCTTGCAGATTCATCCCCTTTGCTGTGTGCGTGTGTGTGTGTGTGTGTGTGTGTGTGTGTGTGTGTGTCTCGATGGCTGCTCATTTGTTAATTGATCCCGCTAGTTGCAGCAGACAGAATGCCAGGGTTTCTAAGCCTGAAGGGCGGTGATTAGGGATGAGTATCTTTAAGCTGCTTAGCAGGCCTGCTGGGAACTGACAGGATGCTTTGGTCTGCTCCTGTGAGGCTCCAGATCAGCAGGTTGCACCATGGGAAAAATGCCTGACTGTCTTGGGAATACAAGAGTTGTATGGCAAGTTGTCACTGAATTTAACGTGTTACAAAATGTAAAATATACATTTTCCTTACACTTTGCACTTTATTCTGCTGCACACGCTTGTTTCCGGTGATGAACAGGTCAACAAGATGGTCAAAATAGAATTTTCCTAATTAGTAGGTCATTATTTATATCAGCGTTAAACCACTGTTTTAAAAGGTAAATCATTGTGCACAATGTTGAGCTTCAGGAATTCATCCTTTAAGCATCAATAATCTTTCAGCAATATTTACTTATATTTAAGTAGCTCAGGAGCTCCAACAAGCCGTGTAGGACAGAGAGTGAATACACATACTATACAGAGATGCTGTATGAGAAACCAATGCGAGTTTGGAACATTGCACAATATAAATCTATTCTAGTAGACCTCAACAATGGAATTATGATCAGTAGAAATGGCCATGACATGGGACCTTTAATATTTTTTTTAAGAGTAATACTTACTTATTATATATTCTGTCTCTCTTATAGCTCCTACCTGCTTCAATGTCTGTCTGTAGCTATTTGCATTGTACGTGCTGTGTGTTGAGATGAAGACCACTCCAAAGCCCTTTGGTGAAGACTAAGTTTGTTCTGGAACCCCTTCAGCTAGTTTTGATCCATTTTCGAAACCTTTTGAGATAAATTGAGATGTACTCTTACAGGCCCGTTTTAAAAGAGGACACAGCAGGGGGAGATTACAAAATCTGTTCTCTAAGTGTTGCACTTCAGTGAGCAGCTCCTACTCACAAATGTCCCCTGTTTCAGAAAGCGGATTTATTGAAAACTCTTAAATGTGTTAACCCTAAACCTAAGAAAACACTTGGTTTTCATTTCCAGTAAGAGAGGTAATTTAAACTCCTGGTCAGTTACCATGGTAACCACGGTGACTCTGTGAACCCTACCTGCTTGCTGGCAGGTTTTAGACAACATCCCGAGTTCCTCTCCGACTCTTCCCTGATTCAGAGCCAGACCGTTTTATTTTCCGTTGCTTAAGTCACTATCATGTTGAGGCATGTTTATTAGCAGAGGTTTACGGTATGTCAGAATCAAAATCCAGGTTAAATATAAGAATTGGTATTACTCTTTGATATTTTTATTATTATTGATATTCCGTTTCTGCTCCTTGTGTTTTAACTCTTTCAGATTGAACCTGAGCAAATACATTCAAAAATATATTTTAATAATGTGTAATGTATAGGGTCTAATTCACAGTCAGATTTCAACACTTGGAGGACATTTAAGTCTTGTAAATTATGAATATAGACAACATTGAATACAATGATGTTGTATCAACTATTCATGCATCAATATCTCAGCATCTTCTGGATTAAAATGGAGACTATGATCAGCTTTTATTTAACTCAGAGTTCAGGCTTATGCTCAGAGACTAATAAACCTGCTTTTTGAAACAGGCCCCAGTACATACTTTTCTGTACGCTGAATGCATTACATTGCACTGCTGTTCAGTCTTTGGCAACAGTTGGCTTTTTTTATTAAACATTTTAAAGATTTGATTAAATAGCTATTTAATCATTTTAAATGGAGCCTTGCAAATAATTGATTTTTCAATGTTCATAAATATTACAACAGCATATCGAGATGTTTGGTCATTAGCCACTTATTTGCACTATTAATCTTCACTCAGTTTAATCTTCTCACTAAAAGCAATAACTTAATTATTAACACAATCAATATAAAGCAATACAACTGATATCACATGCTTTCAAAAGGCGTTAACATGTATGTAGTAGAGCTAAAGCTAAGGGGCTTTGGACTTTTTGGTCAAATGTATGTGCCTTGTTTTCCTGTACATGCAGATATCACACTGTCTTTCCACCAGGTCTATATGTGTCCTTCGCTCAATGTCGCTCTCTGTGTTCCTTTTCTTGCCAATGCACTGCATATTCAGAAGAGGCAGCCTGTAGGTATATGACTATCAAAAACTCTCGCTAGCTGCATGCCCCTCCTTAACTCTTCCCTTTTGGTTATATCCTTTTTGTACTCCTTTTTGTGTGGAGACTTTAACCTTTCTTTGAGGTGTTTGTTTTGTACTATAAATCACATTGCCTGATGTTAAAAGTAATCAAAGAAAGAAAGTACAAATGTTTGATCACCACGAGACATCAGCACTTAGAGCCTTGACGAACCAGAATTTAATTTGAAGCATTTTGTCTCCCCCATATGTCCTACTTGTCATCACTTGTTATTGTTTCATTTGCCCTGTTTTCTGTTGTCTTGTACCAAAACACAAACGTTCATCTTGTTGTTGTCCCAGTTACAAGTCACGTGTCCTGTGCGTTTGTGTATCTCGTAAAACTGCATGAGCTTTGCACGCTGGGGTTTCTCTGTCTTCTCTCTATAGCTCTCTTCCTCTCTTCTTTCTGTTTCTCTGCTTTAGGAATGCTTGCGATGTTGAGTGTTGTTCATGTGTTCCTTGTCTCCCTCTTTCTCTCTGTGCAGGGGATGTGCTGTTCCAGATGGCCGAGGTCCACAGACAGATCCAAGTGCAACTAGAGGAGATGGTTGGTATTCTAAGCTCAAAGGGGTTTCAGCTGTGTGGTTCAACACTACAGAACTCTCTATAAAACTCATTAAAAAAATTAAATGTTAACAACAGTTTAGAGCGATTTGTCCCTGAGCTCTCAAGCCCCTGTGTGCAGTACATGGAAAACATGATCATTAAATGAACAATGAATGAACATGAAATTGTATTGAATGAATCCACATGCTGAGCTCATATAAATCAAAGCTGTGAATATATAAGGTTGCTGGGGAAGTGGAGTGAGTTAATAGAACAGTATGGCATTCTGGGTAATATGCTTGTATGACAAGTTCATTATTGAATTTCCATTATAGAGCAAGGCCTGATCATAGGTGATCCTTGTTAATGCCCTCGAGCTTTAACCAGCTGCCCTTTTATGTGTATCTGCTCCTATGCCTGTACAAACTGTACATATTTATGTAATATACTCGCATCTATACTTATCCTCCTCAACATGAGGGCAATCTTAGAGATCAAGAAAAAGAATGCACAATCCTCATGCTGCAAAAAAAAAGAGCAATGACTGCAGACCATGAAACTAAAAAAACAAGTGCCAGCTGACTGACGATGTCACACAGGTGGTATAAAGAACATAAGGAGAAGAGATTCAACAATTTATTCTGCTTTTATTGCTCTTCCTTCAGGCAGGTCAGTTTACAATCTAGTGACTGCATTTTGTGTCAGATAGCGCTGAATAAGTGACAGTGACAGTGATTTGCAAGCTGAGAGAAGCTTCACAGGCCGAGACTTTGTTGATAAAACATTCATTCAGTGACAGAGTAAATGAGAATAACCCTTGTATTTGAATAACTTATTTGTATATTGCAAACAACTTAATATGGATAACTTTGTCTCTGATTTCGGTCTCTAAGGGGACCCTCCATGAATGATTTGTTAATGCATTTTGTGTGTTTGTGTTTTCTCTCCAGTTGAAATCCTTCCACAACGAGCTGCTCTCTGAGCTGGAGAAGAAGGTGGACCTGGATTCTCGTTATCTGACTGTGAGTATCTGTTTGACAGCCTCACTCCAATAGGGAACTCAATATTTAAGCACATTTTTACCACTTTATATACCAATACATCAAATCTACCAAGGCCTAATTTATACAAACATTTCACAGTTACTTAATGGCTAAGGGTAAACTGACTCAAATAAAGCCGTGTGTGTGTGTGTGTGTGTGTGTGTGTGTGGTGTGTGTGTGTGTGTGGTGTGTGTGGTGTGTGTGTGTGTGTGTGTGTGTGTGTGTGTGTGTGTGTGTGTGGTGTGTGTGTGTGTGTGTGTGGTGTGTGTGTGTGTGTGTGTGTGTTGTGTTGTGTGGTGTGTGTGTGGTGTGTGTGTGTGTGTGTGTGTGTGTGTGTGTGTGTGTGTGTGTGTGTGTGTGTGTGTGTGTGTGTGTGTGGTGTGTGTGTGTGTTGTGTGTGTGTGTGTGTAGTGTGTGTGTGTGTGTGTGTGTGTGTGTGTTGTGTGTGTGTGTGTGTGTGTGTGGTGGTGTGTGTGTGTGTGTGTGTGTGTGTGTGTGTGTGTGTGTGTGTGTGGGTGTGTGTGTGGTGTGTGTGTGTGTGTGTGTGTGTGTGTTGTGTGTGTGTGTGTGTCGTGTGTGTGTGTGTTGTGTGTGTGTGTGTGTGGTGTGGTGTGTGTGTGTGTGTGTGTGTGTGTGTGTGTGTGTGTGTGTGTGTGTGTGTGTGTGTGTGTGTGTGTGTGTTCGTGCGTGTGCGTGCACACTGTGGAGCTGGTCTACATGTGATATCTTTAGAATGAGTGGGTTGCAGCCTGAGTGTAGAGCAGCACTGCTGCACGTTGTTTTGGGGGATGGGATACGTTGCCATTATTGTGTTATGCTGTTAGAAGGAACACGTTATGAGACGCTGCAGATTACAGCCATAAACGCACTCACACTCACCTACAGTAATACAATATTGCTATTGGCAACTGAGAAAAGAAGATAGGTCAAAAGGCCAGAACCTAGAAACTAACAGGGAGACGTATCAGTCAAATCAGATGTTGTAATGAGAGGCTCAGATACAAAACACTGGAATAATCTATTATGTTAGCTGTCAAAAACGATATACATATCATAATTATATTACATTAGTCTAGATACATACAACAATTTAGACATTGCTATGGCTGCATATCCTTGAGGTTTTAACATCCATTACTTTTAATGAATTTCATACAGATCTGCCGCAGTGATAATAGCAGTCATTTTGCTTCAGACTTTGTGAATTAATCATCAGAAAATTTGACTTCAGAAAGACTGAAAGCAAAGACTGAAGAGTGTGCTGTTCCCAGCGGTGCTTCGCTCTTTGTTCTCCTTCTGTCTCTGTCTATCTTTTTCTTGTCTCACATAATGGCTTACGTGAGATTTTTACAACACTGAGGTCAGAATCTTGGCGTTAACCTAAAATTCATAGATGAATAGAAGCATTTCTTGCAGATAAACTGAACCGGAAAAGAGAGATGCCAACGTGTATCTACTGTCCACTGTGTTTCTAATCAGATTTAATCACACTAATTATCTGTCTGCAGAGGTAGCCGGTGATTGAGAGTTGGGGTTACCGCCGCTGTAAACAAAAGTCAACAAGCTTTTGATTAGTTAATTAGGAGGAACACACTCGCTCAATGAGACAGGCACTATAGGGATATTATCGTGTTATCCTTATTTCACGCTGCAAACTAAAAGCAAAGTTTTCACAATGCGGAATTGGGTTTCACGTTACCATTACTAACTTTACTGTATGTGCTTTTCCACTGGGGGGGGGGGGCAGCTTCTGGGATATGAATAGCAGAGCCAGACTTATTGGTTTATTGCTTTACCCCTGCCAGGGAAGGAAAGCATGGATTATTGGGAAAGTGATGTGTGAATTATTTTTGTTTACAAAGAGAACACTAGTGCAAAAGCATAGTTTGGCCTATTTTAGCATTTACAGTAGATAATCAATAGAAGCTCCTGACCTGGAAAATGGATCAACAGTCAATTAAGTTAACATTCCAACATTGATTTAAATCAATAGTTATTAGGTCACTAGAGATTTTCAGTCAGGCTCAGAGGTACAGAGCTAATATCAGGTGTCATACATGATGGTCTTTCAGTGACAATAACCACTTCTTTCGGACTTTCTATTAGTCCAAACAACACCTCGAGCACACCTACATCCTTGGTGTCTTGCAGTATGCAAATGTGGGTGTTGAACCCTCATGCACAAGCTCTCCTAAGCCAATTCTGCCTCGTGCAGAAACCACACAAGCTTTGTCGCACCAGACACTGTTGCCATGGCAACAGAGCTGGTTCAGCCCAGAAACAAAGTTGTTATTCTCCATAAATAAATAAGCAAATTAAATGAATTAAATAAAATAAAAACTCAGGCTGTAAAAGGATTAGGCCAGTTGTTTTTGCCTGTTCTGCAAATCACACGTTTAGCGTTTAGCTTTGCAGGCTGTTTTTTGGGAAGGGAAGAAACTAACAGTGAATGTTTTTAAAAGATGCCATCAGGAGCTGAGTTGTTGCAAAACCAAGCAAAAAAACCAAAACATCTTGTAAAGAATCTTGTGAAATGTGTTTCTTTGATTAAAAAGATTGCTTTATGATGACGGAGCCTTCTTGAACACACCAAGAAGGAGCTTTCAGAACAATTCCACACAGACATAATGAAACAACTGTAAATTAAGTATATAAAGCTGGTTTCAAGACCCTGTGAGATGTTTTTTCATACTGCAGTGAAATTAATTGAATCTATAAAAGCCTTCAGAAATAGGTTGGCAGAAATGCTGCATATTTTTCTCAATTATATCCCACCACCTGCCACTCAGGATTTTTAATTTGTTGTCCTAAATGTGTGTTTGTGCTCTGCCTGTTGCCCCCATGTAGGCTGCCCTGAAGAAATACCAGTTGGAACACAAGAACAAAGGGGAAAGTCTGGAGAAGTGCCAGGCCGAACTGAAGAAGCTGCGCAGGAAGAGCCAGGGCAGCAAGAACCCCTCCAAGTACGGAGAGAAGGAGATGCAGGTGAGCGTCTTGCTGGGGGATTTCCACAAAAAAGCTATTTATTCTCAGAATTAAACAATTAGGAAGAAGATGTCTCAAATTGGACTGTTAAAAATGTTTTCCAATGTGAAGGGCTATTGTTAAAGAAGATAAAAGGAGAGAATACTTGCATGTGGGTGAATGTTGGATTAGATATCTATGAGTCTTGGTGCAAAGGAATGACTTTTCTCTACATAAAGTAAAGTGAATTTGAAAAACAGCAAGGCTGGGGGTGGAGGCAGTGGCGACGAGTTGCCCTGAGTGGGAAGGCAAATAGAGGAGGTTTGATTATAAATTGTGTTTCCGTGCCAATCTTTCACACATACGCCACGTAAAAAAAATATGAAAGAGAGATTTAAGATGATAATAAAACCATAATTGATGTAAAAAGTATTAGTATTTAGTATAGTATTTGATATGCATTTACCTCTGTCAATAGTACAGTTTCTGCCATGTACAGAAAGTGTACATTACTTATACGCTAAGACTATTAACAATATCGCAATTTTTTTTAGACTTTATATAAGAAACATACAGTATGTGTGTTTAGTATCATTTTGAATCCTGCTGTTCTGTTTTTATATTTTTAAATGTCTGTTTGTTAGGGCAGAACTTCTGGTTTTTAATAAGGTTGACACTGAGAGTCATGTGAAATATATTATGCCTTTGGAATCTGCTGTAGAAATTGATAAATCTGTTGAGGAGTTTAAGTGTGTTTTTATTAACAAAAACCATGTAAATATATAACATTTTGGTAAAGGTGGTTCGGTGTTTGGAGTGAGCTTATGTAACTGCTTCACTGCATATGGATACATTGTTCAAACCTTTGTATCAAATATGTTTCGCTACAGATTCAGTTGGCAAACATTCACAACTTGTCAACATGGTTTTATGTCAAACCGGAGCAGTGGCATGATTCTCTGCGGGAACCAGGGGATAGCAGGGTTTGCTTTGGGCGTCATCATTCCTGTGATTATTTCCATAGCAAAGCTACCTCCCTACAGAGCAGCTCAGTTGAAATGAATTTTGATGAGTTGCAATGAACCCTCGGTGTTGGACATAACTTAATTAGTTTTCGTTTATTAGGTTTTCATCTCTCGACCGCCTACTTGACAGGGGAAGTACTGACGGTTGTATTTCTCCACATAGACACACAAATAGCATCTCGGTGTGTATTAAACCTTACCGTTTGCTTTCACTGCGGTAAATGTTGTTAATGTTTACAAGTCATGTACTCTATTGTCTTAGTCCTTTCGCCAGTGTCACTGTCAGAATGAGAATACAATGACTCAGGAGAAAATGGCAAAGTGTGACGGCTTTTCCTTCACAATGAGTTCCTTCAAAGCAGGAAGTCTGACAGCCTGGAGGGGCGAGAACAAAAAGCAAACGGGTCAAGGCTTGCAGGGTAATAACTCAGCTGCTGTTGCTCTCATTAAGTGTGGCTGCCCATGACAGAATCCGATCAATAACTGCATAAGAAACACATTTTTTACCTTCACTTAGGGATGCTATGTTTTGTAGAGTTCTGTGAGTTTTTACAATCCCACACATACACACACACACACCTCTAGCCTTGCCTGTCTGGGTTGGTATGACAGTGATGGTTGATCTGACAGCTGTGTCACATTGAGTTTGTTCCACTGTGTTAGGGATGCCATCATGCCATGTGGAGATGTTGCATGAAGTGTCATCTTAAGGCGTCAAAGAAGTGTGTGCAGTAGTCCAGTTTTGCAGGAGGCAGGGCTTGGGATGGGAGGGCTGTTTGAGTTCACTAAGCCAGTCTCTGTCAAGAATGGCAAGTTGTTGCATGTTCCTGAATGTGTTTGATAATTAGACCTCTGTAAGGAAGGGTGTAGCAAAGTGTAATGAACAGAAACAGGAATGCAGGATTAACTTTATTGCAAACCATTCAGAAAGTCTGAAACTAAAATAAATGAAAAAAAAGGACTACGTTAAGGTATAAATCCATATTAGTGGCCCATAGATGAGAAGCAATGTGTTGGACTTAGTGATAATTTAACATTTTTTCATGAGGCTCATGAGTAGTTAGGCAAGTTTGTCTTGAAGAGCCATTAGAGATAGCGGTTTTATCCATAGGTAAAACTGTTCCACATAAAATATCTTGATTCTATAATATCATGTTTTTTAGCCAATATTTGCTGCAGCATAAAAAGGTTGTGGCAACAAGTAGAAGCCACTATAGCAATTTCACCATGTGCATATTGGACATTGCGACTCTTACTGAGTCTGTATGACTGATCAATTGGGCCTATCTGCTCAGAGGAGGGAGCGCATCAGGCACAGGACTCATAACACAGTCAGTTAGCAGAGAAAGGAAAATCAATCTCCTTTTCTCATTTTCAGCCTGCTCCCTTTCACTGATCATATCACAGCTGTGGGCGTGTGAGTAAAAAGTCAAGTCCTGTATCAGAGTCCCCCGGGGAGAGCAACACACAGAGAGGAAGAGAGCACTCCTTCAAGACTCTGTGTGTAACAATGACATCCATCTAGAGCAGTGTCGAGTCGTGAGCTTTATACCTAGGCCCTCTGACCCCCACCAATTCCCTCGAAAAAAAGAAAAAAAAATAGTTATTACGTCACAGCGTATACTTCAGCGGAATATCAAAACAACGGCCCAGGGTGCAAAACGCATCAATGACAGCGACCCTCTACCACACAAAACAACACCTGTGAACCCAATTTGTGTTCTTTGACATTGAAAATGATATTGCATTGTGTTTGTTACTTTCGTTGCAGTTGTATGTCTTAAGTGTAATTTGGCATGCTTTTATTTTGAAGGCGAGTTCACGCTGTTGACAGGAAGTTGTTGTTGCTATGGAAACAAGAAAAGTTTCACAGCGGGCGGAACTTGTCATAAAGTCCGCGATAATAAAACCCACCCATTTAGAGGGAAGATATGATTGGTCAATTGTACTGTCATTTGACATTACTCTCTCGTTCAGTTACTATAGCGGGCCCTCTGTGAATCGCAGAGAGGGCCAGACGAGCTTCTTTCATGTAACCCTTCACATTCAAACAGAGACTGAACAGGCAGATTCGAAGGATTTATTTCTTTGGAAATGTTATTTTAAATACAATTAAATCAAGTTTTTTTTCGGTAAAACGAATGAAAAATATAACAATAATAATATTAAAAAAATATATATTTAAAAAATATATATATTTTTTTAAATGTTTTTAAATATTATTTTTTAGAATATCTTAGGCCCTCACAGAGGGCCTAGAGGGCCCTGACGGCTCGCCACTGATCTAGAGAGACTTAGAAAGTGACCGACTACACCAATGTGGTCCAGGAGTATTTACAGAGATGGGTTCTGGCGGCACAAGGTAGTTGATAAAGTAAAGTCAAAAAAAAAATCAACTCTTCCTCCTCCTCCTCCTCCTCCTCTTCCTCCTCCTCCATCACATCTGTGTTATTCTAGCAGATGAGAGCAGCACCAAGTTTCTTTTTTATCTCCTCTCTTTTCATTAAAAAGTAAAGTGTGTCTGAGCGCACTCCGGCAGCGGCCACAGATGGCGGCCGCATTTCATTGATCGCTCGCTACCTTCCTCTCTCTCTCCCACTGCTCACTGTTGCTCTCCCACTTCTCTGTCCGTCTCTTTGTCTCTCTATCCTCCCCTGCTTGTCCTCCCTTTTGCCTACAGGCTCTTTCACTGTGCCATCTCATCAATGGGTACAGACCCTGCCAAAATGCTAATCAGCTCATTATGTAGTTCAATGGAGTGGACCAAGGTACTAGTAGAAAGGGCTTTCATCTAGATACAATCCTTTACACTGCCCAGGCTGTGAATAAGAGCTCAGACAGAGATAGAGGAACAGAGGTCAGGATTCAGAATTAATATCCGGAGATCTTTGATTAAGCTGTGAGTTTATCCCGCTTGGTGTCATAAAATTGAAAAGCGATTCCAACCTGGATTCATACAAAAGCAGAAAAAGGTGTTGTTTACGTGCAAGTGCAGTAGATTAGCACTGACAAACAAACATACACAGCAGATTCAAGCAGGTACTGAAGGTGCTTTTTTGTTTTGTACCCTGGAGCGATACAATGCAATCATTTTGATTTCCAAAGAGTGCTGATGATGAAGGAACAGAAGAGCAGACCTAAGCAGCTCATAACAAGCTTCACTTTTTTGAAGGGTGTGAATTCCCTTTCCCAGTACTTGTAATTACTGGAAGCTATATTAGTGTTCAGTGCAAAAATGTCATATTTTTGTCAGGGTTTCTCCTGTCCTCATTATGTCAGTGTAAGGGGATACACAGGGAGGCGGCTCTGCTGAAAGTCTGAATGTGAGAACTGCATGGATGTGTTGCAAGTTTTTTTTTTTTTTATATTCATAACCTTTGCAGAGCAAGTCATACCAGCTATGATGTAACCTGAGGTCGCTCAGATATAATGGGGATGGTGTCTGCTTTGGCTTTCCCACTGCACGCTCATTGTCTTGGGTTACTTTGGTGACCTTTTGAATGGATGGGAAATTGGGCCATATGGATTTGACAAGAGGAGTGGGCCCTTTACCTTGTTGAGGTGCAGTTAGCCCTTTAACTGAACGCTGTGCCAGTACTGAGGTAACTCACTGAACCAGTTTCAAAGCACTTAATTTGAGTTTAAGGTGCACAGAAAGAACAGAATAAGGTCAGGCTGCTCTCAGGAGAAAAATACGTTCATCATCCTTTCATCCCTGTCTTGCTGGATTTGACAACTTCACTTTTTGGATTTGCTAATGGTGTAGCTGTATGTATTCTTTAAAATGTTGTGTTCAGTATCCTTTAGTCACCAAAATATTCCTCCAGACTTGAAATCCCAATGAACTAATCTTGTGGATGTTGGCAGTGGGGAAGTATGTCTTTGGTGGTTACTAAATGGGATGCAGCTGCACTGTGTGGTGGCACCACAGGATGTTACATTTGGCTACAGGGAGGCACTCAGACTTAACAAATTACATTAGCCTTTTCATCTTTCACCTTTGAGGAATCTAATAAAAAGCGTTCTAAAATGTACTTTGGTACTTTAAGAAAACCAAACCTGAGGAATTACTGTAGGACAAATATTCTCTCCAACGGCACAGACTGAAATAAAAAATGTAACATTTATATAGTTTAGGCTGTTTGTCTTTTCCATTTCCCGAATAAGGAAGGGGGACTAGAGTCCACAACAAATCAGATTTTGGATGATATGATATTAAATACATACATAATAAATAAATATATAAATAGACATAATAAACTTGAAACCCCATTCCTGAATGAAAGAGTTATTCTAGGTCAAATCTTGTCTTTACGCTAATTTTTATCGGCAGATGATACATTATGAAACAATGAAACTGAACGCAGTCAACCTACTTTCTAAAACGTTCATCTATCAACATGCAAACTCTGCTCTTTGCAAACATGGTACCTGGCATGTGTTACACGTTGACAAAACACCTAAATGTTACTCCCTATTAGGGTTGCAAAGGGGCGGAAAGTTTCCGGTAAATTTCCGGAAAGTTTCCATGGGAAGTTAAGCTGGGGAATTTTGGAAATATTCGATGCAAAATTGAACAAAAAACATGACATTTCACCGTTTGGTTTTTTTAAATCTTTTTTTTTTAAGTAGAACAGAACAAGTTTTAATTATGTTATTGAACAATTATTTGTTTCATTGAAGAACAAAAACAGGAATGTTGAGTTAAATGTTACTCATCCCCCCCAACCCCACTCATTAAAAAATGAACAAAAATGCACCCCCCATCCAAAAATCCCCACAAAGTCCCATTCAAAATGTTAAATGAAAAGAGCCCTTCTCCCTCCAAAAAGTCCCATTAAACATGCACATCTTCCTTCAAGCGATCCTCTGCATTTTTGCTAAACCCTTTCAGTCAATGGGCTCTTCCTGGGCCTCATCAAAATCCAACTCTTCCTCTTCCTCTTCAGTGTCACTGTCCAGCCTTGTTGAGGATGGCTCTGTGTCAGGCTCAAAGAGCCTTAGGTTTGCCCGAATGCCAACCAGTTTGTCCACTCTCACATTTGTGAGCCTGTTGCGAACCTTTGTGTGGTCTCAATAGCCATGCAGTAAGCAGTGTGCTATGGCATGGATATTCAAGTGTACTTGAATGGCATCTGTTTGTTTTAGTCAAGATTATGCTAAAATATACTTTCCCCAACTATATTTAAGTTCCCTATGAAGAGCCAACCTTCAATTTTGAAAATTCCCAGTTTATTCCCATAAATTCCTGTTAATTCCCGTTAATTCCCGTGGAAAGTTTCCATCTTTGAAAATTCCTGGAATTTTGCAACCCTACTCCCTATTCTAATTAAGACTCCCTGCAGCTCCTCACCACTGTCAACTACCATTTTGTGAGAGTGTGGTCAGTGGACTCTCTGAGACATTTCCCTATAGACTATAGAGACTCAGGCTAAGATAAACTGTCAGCGCTGGATCTCCTTCCCTTTCTGTCTCTGTTTCTCACTCTTATACTATACATAAACACACCCATCATGTTGTTATTGTCCGACACGTAAAGAGGATTTGTGGATTTTGGGGGCGCCATTCGCACATTCATAATTGCCTTGTCTCACTACCACTCTGGAGGAAAAACCTAGCCTGAGAAAGTTACTGAGTAAGACTTTTCTCCTCAGACAACCTGTAGCACCAGAGTGCACTTAAACCCTAATTGCTCCATCGGAGATGTGCAGTGATTGGCAGTACAACACAGAGCTGGACTGAGCAGCTCCTTAGTGTGAATGTGTTAAATTGTCTGTACGTTAAAGGTGGGGTAGGTAAGTTTGAGAAACCGGCTTGAGATACACTTTTTGTTATATTCCATGGAATGCTCTTAACATCCCGATAGCAATGAATATCTTAAGTGCTTTGACAAAAAATCCATAGAAAAATGTCATCTGTGGAAGCCGTAATACTGTAAAAAGTACGACCAATCATTTTAGCCGGCCCGGCTAAAATAACTGGATGGCCTACCTGCCTGTCAACCTTCCATCTGTGCACAAACTTATCTTGTGCCCTCATTGGTCATGTGCGCGTTCGTGTGTTGGAGGAGGAGCTCTGTAAGGAAGTGGCAGATTTTCTCCGGTTGTGTATTTTCAAATTCTAGCGATCTCGAGCCGGTTTCTCAAACTTACCTACCCTACCTTTAAGCAGGGTCTTTTTTTTTTAAAGTTATGAATGTTATGAGATGGGGCCATTTTCTCGTCAGACCTCCTGTCCATCAGCCTTACCTTCTCAATCTGTATGGCATTAAGCTGTGGATGACTTTCGGTGTACCAGTAACCATAAAGTATTTGTCGATCTTTTGATACAAACACCAGTATGTTGTGATTATTTTTGCACTAATCCGTAGATATTGTATCTAAAGTTCATGTGTCATTGTGTGTTTTTCCCCAGTTTGTGGAGACCATAAGCAGTAAGCAGACGGAGCTAGACACCTTCATCGCTGAGGGATACAAGACAGCCTTGTCTGAGGAGCGTCGCAGGTACTGCTTCCTGGTTGACCGCCAGTGTGCCGTGGCCAAGAACAGCAGCGCCTACCATGGCAAGGTGAGTGTCACATGACCACCAAGAATATTGTTTTACCATAAGGAAATGATAAGAAGAGACGTGATAGATGAACGTATTTTCAAAAAATGGCCTTTCAAGTCAATACTGCTGCTTTCAAGTCTCTGAAAACAAATGATTACTGACTTAATCAGCAAAAGAAATACTGAAAATAATGTGTATGGATTATTTATCAAAAACCTTATTGAGCTTATATGCTTCATCAGGACAGTGTGGGTGGGTTTTGATTACATTGTATTGACAGTGATGCAAACAACACCAACTGTCATCATATTTTGATTAAGACACTGTCTCATCTACACCTACTCACCCTTCACCTGCTATTTATTGGATCATAATGTAGCTCTGTCTCGGTTCTTCTCATTGTTTTCAAGACGTTATGGTTTTTCAAATGAGCCCATATAATCAATGGGAAGAGGAAAAGATGAAAAGGCAAATAAGGAAATATCTCTTTTGAAATGAGTGTGCCTATATGGTTCGAATTTCTCCTAGCATTAAACTGATATTAGTCAGGGCCTTTCATAAAGCTGTGCACAGAGATGATCTGAAATACAGCAAGAATTTGTGTTTCCTTAAATTATTTGTTAAATCTTCGAAAATGTGTTTGCAGTGACTAACAGTGGCCCAGAGTGCTTAACAAACCAAGCGTATTGAGAAAACACATGCAAGATAGAGATGACACTAGTAAACATCTTCACCAATTCGACAGCCACGCACCACACATCCTTTAAAGAAAGCTCTGCAATAGGGAAACACACAAAACTGTTTCCGGGGGAATATAAAAAAGTGATGCACACAGCTGTAGCGTTTGATCTTGATGAAGCCTGCTACCTGCAGGTCGTCTTAGAAGAGTACATAAATGTGTATTATTATATCATTTTGATTGCATGATTCAGAAATCATTGCAGATATCTTCATTTGGCCATATTATGAAATCTGAATCATGTGATCATGCTTAGAATAATAATCGTTTCCAGCAACTCTGACAGATAATCGACTTCAATAATTTAATCAACCGGAAACCATGGCAACAACAAGTGTGTCGTAGCCATGTGCATCACTTTTTAGTTGCCCCTGGAAACAGTTTCTGTTGATTTCTGAGCATTGTGCAGTGTGTTCATCTATTTAGCGCTGCTATTTTAAAGTCCTGTGCATGTGTCATAATGTCGATAAAGATCTGTTTTCATTTTCTGTTTTTGTGTCTATCTGCATGGGTTTTCTGAATGTGCGCAGCATTGAGCTCAACATGGTTGTCATTACTTTTGTTCTCTCAATTAATCAGGAACACATTTTCTGTCCTTTTTGTACAAAAGCAACATGTGCAGAGCTTGTTGGTCAAATTATAGAATTGTACTCATTCCCTTTGAGCTGTTGTGTCATTTCTAGCCTACTTACCCCTAACTGTCAACATGTGACCATTGTTCAGCAAAAGGAACATAATAGGAGATATGTATAATTCAAAGTCACATTATTTCCACAGCTCACAGGGGCCTCTTCATTTAAAATGTATTAATACTATAGACAATTCCCTGCTGACTGGCACATCTGAAGCTGTAATCCATCACTGCACCTTCGTGTGTCTGGTCACCTTTTTGTGGAGAGAACTGCCTCACTTTGCTCAGATCATGAAATACTTTAACAGGAAGAGGCATCGAAATGATGAATGTAGAGAAAGATGGGTTGAAATCAAAGAAAAACAAACTGTTTCTCACCCATTTTGTTTACAACAGTCACTATTGAATGTTATTATACCTTCTTGATATTTCCACATTGCTGCTGACATTTAAAGCAAATAACCATTACATCTGAATATATTCCACTCTGTCATACCATCAAATGTAATGGAGCATTATTAGCAAGGGTTTTGTTTTAATGCTTGTTTTTGTCTGTGTGTGCTATAAATGTATGATTATCCATTAGCCAAGAATTTTATATTCTTGGGTAATGAAGTATATCAGTCTCCTGTGTGTGTGTGTGTGTGTGTGTGTGTGTGTGTGTGTGTGTGTGTGTGTGTGTGTGTGTGTGTGTGTGTGTGTGTGTGTGTGTGTGTGTGTGTGTGTGTGTGTGTGTGTGTGTGTGTGTGTGTGTGTGTGTGTGTGTGTGTGTGTGTGTGTGTGTGTGTGTGTGTGTGTGTGATGTGTGTGTGTGTGTGTGTGTGTGTGTGTGTGTGTGTGTGTGTGTGTGTGTGTGTGTGTGTGTGTGTGTGTGTGTGTGTGTGTGTGTGTGTGTGTGTGTGTGTGTGTGTGTGTGTGTGTGTGTGTGTGTGTGTGTGTGTGTGTGTGTGTGTGTGTGTGTGTGTGTGTGTGTGTGTGTGTGTGTGTGTGTGTGTGTGTGTGTGTGTGTGTGTGTGTGTGTGTGTGTGTGTGTGTGTGTGTGTGTGTGTGTGTGTGTGTGTGTGTGTGTGTGTGTGTGTGTGTGTGTGTGTGTGTGTGTGTGTGTGTGTGTGTGTGTGTGTGTGTGTGTGTGGATGGGGGTGTGCGTGGACTGAAGAACCCTCTCCCAGAGGGTCCAGTGTGTGTTTGTCAGTGTAAGATCATGTGTTTGAGAGGGAGAAAGATATGATGAGAGCTTGAAATTACCACATACAAAGGGACAATGTTGTGTGTGTGTGTGCATGAAACTATACAGTAAAGACACAAATGTGTTGATTGCTGATCATCCATTACTTCTATGATGGTGGAAAGAACAGCCGTGTCCACAGGCTGTGAGAAGCTGCAGTGGGCAGCTGAGTTGTATGTTCGTCTGTCCCACTGCCTCACCCACGCAGCACATTATCATAGCTTTGCAAAGGGCATTGGTCAAGGATACAGTTTGAGGAAAAAACCTTTGAGAACTGAATGGTTTTTTTTGTTTTGAGAAAAGGAGATACAACAAAGAAGAAATAACTCGCTGGTCACAATGCAGCAACATCAATCAATCAAAACGTTATTACAGACTCAGGGTCCAGATAAAAGACAAGACATTACATAGATAAATGTATCACTTTTTGTGTGTGTTTCTTCAATCTTTTCTTCCTACTTCAAGGGTAAAGACCTCCTGACCCAGAAGATCCCAGTGTGGCAACAGGCCTGCTCAGACCCCAACAAGCTGCCAGAGAGGGCCATGCTCCTGGCCCAGCAGATGGGCTCTGTAGGCCTTGGGGGAGCAAGCCCCCTCCATACTTCCAAATCCAACTTGGTCATCTCAGACCCTATCCCCGGGGCCACGCCTCTTCCTGTGCCCCCAGAGCTGGCTGTTTTTATGGGTGGTGGCCTGGGTCACCAAGCGGTGAGTTACGAAAATCCGTGGGTGATGAAAATATGTTTTTATGTATACTTATATTATTAAGGTTTGATTTCTCCTGTGTTCATAAGGCAGTATTGTTTACATTTCGTGTCTGTCCATTTTTAGTGTGTCTATAACTGCCAATACTGTTTAAACTTAAACAGAAACTGTCCTTGTCTTCATCGAGAGAACTGAATTACAGTTCTGGAAGATGGCACTGTTTAATCTACATTTCATGCTGGGCAGCAATCAGCTGACACACTTGGATGAACACTCTCTAGACTTCAGGTCAAGTTTCAACGTTATGCCATTTACACAGTTTATTATTCATATTCTGTATATGCTTGTTTTTTCCAGAGGCTGATTGGCCCTGATGGTATGTCCATGGTAAATGGGACAACAGGAGCCCATGGGGAGGAATATTGGACTGACGGAGGGACTATATCCGTGTCCCAAGTCAGGCCGGCATCCCCCCAGACCCAGCCACCGGGCCAGGCCCAGGCCCAGCCCCAGAGGCAGGTCAGCGATGTCTACTCCAACACCCTTCCTGTCCGTAGGCCAGCCCCCGCCAAGAATAAGAACCCCGTGGGTAAGATATCTGAACACTGCTACACCTTTATTAAAAACAGTAGTGCTTGCAGTAAGAAAATCACAAGTGGAATATTTGATTGTGGCTCAAACCTATTCCTGGCTTAAAGATACAGCGAGGAGCATTTTAATATCACGTAAATACTTAGGTATATGACTTTATGACTAAACATTACTAATATCTATGCTAAAGAACAGTGATGGAGTTGATAGCTGCTGCTCTAAGTGTCACAAAGGAGGAGAAGGGTAGCAACAGACTCAAGCCGCCTTTACAAGAAATGTTGGCATGAGACAGTCAACCAATCATCTAGTCTTGTTTAAGTGATTATCCCAGACTCGGGTTATTTGGCAGTGATGGATTGATGTTAACAAATGCTATTCAGAAGCACAATGAGAAAATGCTAAATTTAGAACAAATGCCTGGTTGCTGTCAGTGCCTAAAAAATACATATCATCAATCTTATCTTTAGTTATAACTGCGGACTCCAGTTATCCAGAGCATCTGGTACTCTGAACTCGTAATAGATTTACTGACTACTGTCTCTGTCTGCAAAAACTGAAGGAGAGACACGGACTCTGCCCAGGTCCAGTTCCATGGCAGCAGGCCTGGAAAAGAACGGGCGTTCCCGTGTCCAGGCCATCTTCTCCCACGCTGCAGGTGACAACGGCACCCTGCTCAGTTTCTCTGAGGGAGACGTAATCACCCTGCTAGTGCCTGAGGCCCGCGATGGCTGGCACTATGGAGAGAATGAGAAGAACAAGATGTAAGTGAAGGATTGTTCATTGCCTGTGTCCATACTGTGAAATTCCATATTTGTTCCACATGTAGGTCCAGTGAATGAGGAGTTTAACAAGGTGTTCCCTTTGTTTAGGCGTGGCTGGTTTCCATTCTCCTACACACGTGTGCTGCCTGAAAGTGACAGTGAGAAGCTCAAAGTGAAGTATGTAGCATTTTACCATCATTACCTGTGTGTCAACTTAATGAACCAGAATGAGACCTCGTCTGAGGCCTTTTTTGTTTGCCTGCCTAACCAGCTTGCACCATGGGAAAAGTAGCAGCACAGGGAACTTGTTGGAGAGTGATGCATCGCTGCCCACACCTGACTATGGCCTGACTGCCCGACTGCTGGCACAGAGCCTCGCTCAGACCCGCCCGCGCCCCTACAGCATGGCAGCCTTCGGCACACAGGTAGGAACAATTTAACATGTGTAGTATCCATGAACTACACACAAACACTTGTTACTCTTGCTCACTTAATTTGTAGCCCCCATCTGGTAAAGTCTCGTGTTGCATAATTGGATATGAGTAATCCTGCAGTAACTGTTAGGGGGGCTTTTGCTCAGTTTCTGCTGCCGCCTAGTGTTTGAATGCAAGTATGGCAGTTTTTGTTATTTTAGGCCAACAAGCACACAAAGTAAAACATTTTAATCTTATCTTTTCAGCCTGCCATTGAGGATTATGACGGCCGCTTTGCCACAAGGTAAGTGCTGTTTCTACCTTGCCGTCTTAGTAATGACTAATATGACTGCTGCTAGCATCTGAATTCTTTAATTTGGATAGCTTTGGAAGAAGTGACTATCAGAAGAAGAGAAGCAGACCCTTAAATAAATAACATTTCACCTGAGTAACTGCATGCTGGAACACTCAAGAGACAGCAAGGCAACTGCTTAACATACTGTAGCCAGATCAAATTAAATGCTACATAAACAATCAACCACATTTATGTAGTGTACATTACAATTATTTGATTTGATTTTTTTTATTTGTGTCAATCACAATTTCCTGGAGCCATCTTTAGATGACCTGTTTTGTCTGGCCAACAGTCCAAAACCTGAATACAGATCCAGAACAAGAGACACATGATTGGACAGAGACAGAAATTAGTAGAATCTTTATCAAAATTGTTCGCTATTCCTTTTTTTTTAGATTGTATATTTAATTTGTTGACTAAGAATTTCAAAGCTAATGGGGAATATAGTTGGGATCTGGATTTTGGTGTCGCGTTAACATCCCCACCTCATGGGATCTATCTGTCTTCTTTTTCGTTTCTTCCTTTCTTATGTTCACTTGACTTTTATTTTAAATAGCTCTTTAAAGCAATAATTGCACTCTAGGGGAACCAGTGTCTTAGTTTATTGCCAGAGTACTCGTGGCTCAGTATATTTTCACCGTTATCCTATCAAATCCTTGCTGACTCACCAGAGTTGTGTGACTTTTTTGTTTCTGTCCAATCAGGGAGTACATCTTTGTGTACACGTATATAAATGTGTGAGTGAGTGTGAGAGTGTGTGTGTGAGAGAGAGAAATAAATCGCCAATGTGCAATCATATTGGTGTTTGTTGGAGTACATGTTGTGACAGTAGACTTCATGCTGATCTCATCTCAGCCATCACTGCTTGTCAGCTTGGGGCTTTTCGGCCCCAGTGTCAAGCTGTTATACATACTCTTGTCTGCTCTGAATGTGTTTTTTTCTGTACCAGTATTGTGAGACATCACTGTGCTGCAGGGTGTATTCACCCCACCAGACTAATATAACACTACGTCCCTTCAGCTAAGGAGATGACTTGATTTTCTCATCAACACACAGTAGTACTTTTCAGTGACAAATATTCACTAAACTGCATGAAATGGGCAGTAATATCAAACCGGCGTAACATATCTGGATTCAAAATTGTTGATGAGGAAATTGGAAGTTAATCTTCCTGATCATGGTAGGGGTGTTTGGAGTTGTAGGTGTAGGTGGGGCAAAGTAGATTTCCAAACCCCACCTACACCAAAGCTCTACCCTGCATCCTTGTACCTGTCTTGTCTTTCTCCATTTCCCTCTGAGTGTGTCCGACCTGGCAAGCTTCCTTCTCTCTTTGTTCCACAGTGACAGTCCTGATGGCAAATTGATTTCGACTGTGTGAGAACAGACATACAGACAGACACAGACAGCTCCGGATAGCACAGGGGCCTCTTCCTCCCCATCTTTCCCTCCTCTTAGCCTCCCTCCTGTCCACTTGTCTCCACCTCTCCTCCTCTACCTCCACACACGCCCCTTCTCCAAGTGGAAGAGGCCAGTTTCATCCCTCCTTTCTGTCCTCTCTTCCTCCTCGGGTCCCTCCTTTCTTCCTTCCGTCCGTCCCGGGTGCTGCTGCTGGTGGTGTTGGTGTGGACAGTAGCGGTTGGTGGGTGGAGGATTGCGTTGAGCGAGAGAGCCCGAGCGGGGCCCACCTGCTCGGCACGCAGCGATATGGACTCTGAATACTCTATCTCTGATCACAGTCCACCATCACGGACTGATCTCTCAAGAGACTGCCTTTGCTACTGCTTGTCTTTCATGCATGTACATGGTTGTGTCATTTTGTCAAACTAAAGGACATGTTCATGTACTGTACAAGTGCCAAGACTTCAATGTCGTTGTACTTAAGCCACTGGCTGAATGGCCTTTTCTAAGCACACGTGGGCCCAGTATAATCGAGTTCCCACCCGACAACACTTGCTCAAAAAATAGCTTTTTACAAAGTAAGGCTGTGCAGCAGAATATTTCTGTTGTGAGAGATCCCGCAGGTGGCGCTGTGCTTCCTTGTGTCAGTGCTAATTTTCTGTCCAGAGAGCGTGTGTCATATTTGCCTTACGTTGCTTCTTTTTTTTCCTATTAAACAAATACTTTATCTGCAATGAGACACATTTTCAAACTGAGCTTCGACAATATACAGTATATATATATATATATATATATATATATATATTATTTCCTTCAGTCCACATAATTGCACTGAAATATGATCATTGCAAAAAAAATGTGTTCTTATAAAAAGACATTTTAATTGACGACCATTAGCCCCACAGAAAGTTGTTTGCCATTCTTGGCTGAGCTTACTGCCAGAAATGTTAAGAAACAAATTCAAATGCCTCACTGGTATTTCTTTTGGAGCTACAGTGAGTTTGGAAGGTCTTTTATCTTCTGTTGAGTATCCTCCATAACAGCTGTGAATTCGTTTTTAGGTTAAATGACAACCACGGCTTTTGCAGCTCTCAGTGTTATTTATGATTGTATTCCCTGAGTGGCTATGTAGTTTTTGGTCTTTTCTTTTAAAAAGTATTGTCCTTGTAAAAAAAAAATATTTCGAGAAACAATGAGAAACTACTGATTAGTTGAAGTGTTTATCTTATGCATGCTGTGGAGGAAAACCAGAAAATGTGATACTGAAATTGACCTTGAATGTATGGTGACTTTTTACAAAGGTATTCTAAATAAAACATATCTCTATATATTAATAAACAATCTGGTCTGACGAGAAATCTGTTCTGTCAGTGACAATTACATTCTCAGTTTTGTAATTTCTTTTTCTTTTTTTACATGTTTCAAAGTAAAATGTTAAATGTTTTAATTAATTTTTTTATTAATTTTTTTGTTCAAACCTGCGACATTTGTGTAAATCATTTCAGGCCACAGCTGTGTTCCAAGCATGCAGTTTCATCCTAACCCCTCCCCACATAACACCTACAGTATAGCCTCTGTAGTGCTCTCTGTGTCACTGTAAAAACTGAATCAAAAGACTGTCAGTGTGTGTGTGTGGTGTTGTGTACAAATTGTGAGTATGTGAACTCTGCCTGCCTCCCTTTTTTCCCGATTTTTAGTATTTTCTTTTAGGTTTATAGATGTGATGATGCACATATTTTTGCAGACCCATATTCAGAGCAGCAGCCTGTTGATTGCATTGGTAGTAAAATGTATACACCAAGGCGAGCTGCGGGCACTTTTCCTGACAGTTTAGCATATGAACATCTAGTATGTGGCATGTTTCGCATGAAGTAGCTACTTCTGTTTTGCATCCCTTATTTTAATCACATTTAACAGTTACACTTGTGTCCATATTGCATCTGACTAACCAGCAGTGTCGTTAAAAAATGTGACCCATGCATGATCTGAGCAATGAGCCATTCAAACCCAAAGGTTCTCTTTACCTTCCAGTTTGGGTCCAGAATTGTCCCGATTCTGAGGGAACAGGACCTCCGTAAGTCACCAGCCTCCATCGCCTTTCAGCCAATCCCTTTTCTCCTTTTATCTTCCCTCTATTACTGCCTGATTCTCTTGCTGCTGTCATTGGCTGTCTGGCTTCAGTAGGTTGCTGGGAATCACTGGTCTTACTGTCCTTTGGCCTCCAAGGATGTGGCAGCAAATATTCTGTCAGTCCAGTAGGGGTTTGGGTTGTAAAGGAATTCACTTAGATTGTCTTGTCTGCCACAATATCATAAACGGACAACTAACCCCGCATGCATGCCTATAGCAAACCTTTTTGTTCTTTCCCCCCCCCTCATTTTTTTGTTTTATCATCACATGCTTGCTTAAAAACTCACAGTATACTGTTACTGTTTGTTCAACTCATTGTAAGAAACAAATCTATGGGAAGGCAGTTTTCTGTGGGTGTGGTTAGCTGACCATATATCTCTGTAAGTTCTGTCGTGTCTTCATCCTAACTGTCACTGTTCCTTGTCTCACCCCTCCTCTCCCCACAGTGATCGTTCCCTGGAGGTCTACCTCCGGCCCACCTTCACTGATGACCGATCCACACCCATCTTCTACTAGCAGCCCGATGCCCCCTTTTCTACAAATGAGCCCTTTTTTAAAGGGGAGAGGGAAAATGGCCAACGTTGGCACATTTGAGTTGAGTTTGTGGTTTTATCCCTAGAAGGCCATGAAGTGTGTTACACTGCTAAGAATTTAGTTTCTTATCCGTAAAAATGTGTTGGTTAATTTCTGGTTTATCATCGTAATTATTTTTGCTAACTGTTCCACATAAATTGAATGTCTCAGCCTGAACATCCAATCGCAAGCGTGAGAGTAAATGTATTAGTTTTTTTAGATCATGCCAGTTGTGGATAAGGTATGGCTTATAGTTTTTTACTATTAATGCAGTCACATAATTATTTATCTGCACTTCAACTATGGGATTTCTTTTACACTATACACTGTCAATTTCCATTGAGGATTATTTTCATTTATGAACAGATGAGGAACACTGCATTAGATTTTGAAGTGGAGCTCGAGGGGAAATATGATTGACAGTTTTAGTGCATAATATGCACTGAAGTGTTGATTGATTGGTTACTGTCACAAATAGCTAGAACTGGTCAGTTGGTAAGTAAACTATAATTCTTATTTTGTTAAGTGATATAGTTATATATATTAACTAGTTGTGATACAGTAAACCCATATGTTCAATGTGGGAACTGTGCCTTCTATCATTTATTTTGCTTCATGCAGCATTAACTATCGTTATATAAAATTATTTGTATTACAGTTAAACATGTGTTTTTTCATATATTCTTTAAAATATAAACAGGATTATTTTCCTTTTTTTGCTTATATTGTCAGCTTTGCTATTCTTCCCTTCTCTTTAGAAATGTACTAATATCGAAGCTGCCGGATAGCCAGTGCATACATAATGGGTCTTTTTTTATATTTAGCTTTGAGGGAGTGGTAGCTTAAGGTACAGTATTATTGTAGCTTTTGATTGTTCATTCTCAGTATTATACACTCATCTGGGAGAAAAGCTTAGAGCAGAGATTTATCCACAGATCTTTGGGCAAAGGAATGGAACTGAATTTACTGGAAAGGCAATAATGTTCATGAATATGTGAGTGAGCTAAAATGCCTCTTAGACTGCAAGAAATCAACATTTACATCATCAAAAGTACATTTTCCATGGATGACTTACACTGAGGGATATGATCAGCTTTTATTAAACAGCTTAGTTGGGCAGCAAGTTTCAAATGCATTTTTTTTTTTTACTTTTTATATAGCTTTCATTGTTTTCATTTCTTACTTTTGTCCCTGTTTGTATTATATCTGTACTGTACAGAAAGTGCATATAAATTATCTTGTCCAAAATAAATCTAAATGGGCAGAAACGTCATATTTGTATGTGTTGTGTTGTCATGTTTTGATGTGTTCTTGTTTTGTTCTTGTTCTTGACATAAATGCAGATACAAATATCACGGAAACAAGAAGGGAAAAAGTATTTGGATTTATTTGTTTGGGATAGTACAGTAGCGATGAGTGAGGGGGGTGGGGGGGGGTGGAACAGCAATGATGTTACTACTGGTGCATAGAGCAACCCACATCACCTTCTCCAAAGGTGTCTGCCACTTTAGCCAATAGGCTCGGTAATATCTCTTTGGCAAATTGTAGAGATGGATATCCTGGATTGCATCTTTTGAAATTGTACAAAAATACTAGCTGCATTTTCTCTTTTGCGAAACTTAAAAGGCAAAGTGAGGGGAAACTGAATTGGCACTTTGAGCTACAGCACAATAGAGAGGGGGAGGGAGCTGTCGATACAGCAGTAGTAATTCAAGTCAAGCTACCTGCTACATATTGATAAAACATTCATACAATATGTGAGATTTGTCATATTTTTGAATGTCCTTTTTTTGTATACCCCAGACTCTGGCATTCAGCACAAATGTAATAGAATAGATTATGTATGACAAGACGTAGACGTAGAAAATATGCATAAAGATGACATTCAACATTTATGACTGGCATATTAGCATGACACCGCTAAATTGTGTTAAAACACCCTTCCTTTTGGTGTCCTTCTATTGCTGATGGCATGTCATATAAACATAGCTAATATGCAACAAAATAAAGTGAATCTATAGCTGGCACTGTGGACACACATAAGAAAACCTCACATGTTTAGATATTTCATTCAAGGTTGGGGAGATGAAGACAGAGCCATCACTTCTACAAATATATGAAAGTACTTCAGACAGATATGGTCACTGTAGACATAATATTGTAGGTTATCATTACCAGAATAAGTGATGGTGATAAGGGAATGACATCACCTTCATTTCTTTCTGTATGTTCCCATTAACATAGCGCACTGAATCCCCCGTCAATATGATACGGATATGACTTGGATTAAGGGATACATTTAGTTTCAGCACTTCCGTCTTCAAACACCACCGCCCACTCCTAAAAGGTCTGATCTTCTGTTTGGATATCAACGATCGCTTGTTATGCAACAATCATCAAGCAGTGTTCTCTAGCTCTAACAATGAGAGCTGTACAGTCTTTAAAACATCTGGATCAATGGTAAGCAGATAGAAGAAGGCAGCCAATGAGAGGAGCAGATATAAGCCTTTCAATTCATTTTTTTCTCCCTGTGTATTTATTTTATTTTAAATTTCATTTACCTTTACTGTAAGGTTACCAACAAAAAACGATGCTGCATCAAGCAAATATGTTTTTGTCATTTACGATAAAGAAGTATATTGATGATTAATTTTTCTTCAAACAATATGATCTGACTTTGTATCCACTCTTGGTTGTCTCACTCAGGTTGCCTTACCAGCAGCATCACTTTTCCCACAAATTAAAAAACGAAAAGGTGCAAATAACTGAGGGTCTGTCACTACAATATGAGGCACTGTCTCATAACGGGGCACCAGAGCCAGATGCCCCAAACGTTGATACAAAATAAAACTCTGTAAAACATCTAAATATAATAATACTGCTTTTCCGTGTTGAGAAGGACTCGTCCTCCTCCCGTCAAGATGATGGGGCCCTCAATGTTTTGGGCTATCTTCAATGTTCCCTGTAGGAAAAGAAAAAAGAAAATAAGTATGTTGGCTTTGGATTAAAGTCAAACCAACAAGTGATGCTCAAAATCTTTTTCAAAAACATAAGAAGCCATATCCCCCATCAAGATAATTTGTTTTAGAGAAAACTATAGACTAAAATGGTGTTTGTACAGCCCTCACCATCTGTGGATTCAGTATATTGCTAACTCTCAAATATTGACCAAAACATCCCTCAACATGCTGATTATACAGATTGTATTATGATGTGTGTTTACCAAAGCAATGTAAAGAACTCACACACAAATATAGGACAGCACTTCTTACCAGCCACATTCAATCATACTGGAATTGTATTTTAAGCAATACGTTTTGGTAAGACATAATGTGCAGAATTTACTCCAACTATGAAGCTAAAAAAGTAAACCAAAAGATCTCTCTTTTGGTTAATACGATTTTCTTGAAGGGCGAACAGACAACATATAATTTAAAGAGCAGATATTTGTGTTGTAGCAAAAAAAATAAACATTTCATGTAAATTCGACTTTTGGGTAACTGAACATTTTAGAAATAAGAAATAAGTGATTGTATTTCAGTGCAAATTAAATAACTATTATAAATAAGTCAAGATTATGTATGAAGGAAAGTTGATACAGACCTGTTACTGAGCCCATGTGGGGGTCCGAGACATGTGTGATGGAGAATCGTGAGACCATGAAACGGTTAAGTGCTACAGCTGCAGGTTTAGGAGCCTCGGGACTGTTGGAGGTGCATGTGGGTGAAGACTTGGGTTCAGGGAGGGTCTCAGGTGAGGACGGGCGGGGCTCCAACAAGAGGTCATCTTCCCATTCATATCCCCCACCTAAAAGCACACAGACACTGTTACAGTTATAGTGAATGTATGATGATACGACCGGAATGACTTTGTCCTTTACAAACTCACCCTCTTCGGAGTTGTTCCCATCTGTTTCTTCAGAAACACAGAATGATTCACACGATTGAGCTTCAAGTCCAGGGTTGAGTTGCTGTTGGGAATCATTGTTTTTTTCCTCTCCAGATTCCTGTGCACTGGTCTCCGTGTCTGTAGAGAAGGCGAAGTCAACCAGCTCTCCCGTGGGGCTTTCCTGGAATGAATAAACAAAACATATTCCTTACGGACTCTAATGCAATAAAGTAATTGTTAAACAGACAGTACACATTGCACGATTTAAACCTATCAAGGTGACATACCTGGTCAAAAAGGAACACTGTGACATCATCAAAAAAGGACACAGCTTTTTTCTTCCTCTCCAACTCGTCACAGAAGGACTGGGTGAGCAGGCCGGGCATTTTCAGGAGGCTGCGGAGGTGTCGCGCCCTGCTGCAGTCGCTTATTACTACTGGCACTGTGCTGAAATCATCATCACTCTCCTCACTGTCTTCATCTTGGATGTTATAGGTCCTCAACTCTTCATCAGACTCACTGTCATCCGAGTCATCTTCATCCTCTGCCTCCTCCAGCGGAGCCCTCACATCTTCTCCGCACAACTCCAACAATGACGAGGAAGTGGACAGGTTGACGGGGCCGATGGATTCTTCACATACGCTTTCCTGTGAGTCACATTCCCCTGCGTCTATGTCCTCAAAATCTTCCTCATTGATCGTCACACCCTCCCTTCTGTCCTCCGTCTCTTCCTTGACATGATTGAATTCAGGCAGCTCTTCCTCTGTGGATCCATCACCGTTTTCATTTTCTTTGTGGGCCTCGTCTCTATAGTCAGATAAAGTGGAGTCGGAAAGCAAAGACTGAAGAGGGGAACAATCTTCTGCTCTTCTGTTCCCCTCCTCATGGTGTCCCGAGGCCTCTTGGACATTAGAAGAGGCTTCAGACGCGATGGAGTAGTTAAGCTCTGAGGAAGGGTCTTCTGAGTGTTCCGTATGCAACCCGAGGTCCTCCTCTGCAGGGGCAGACTCTTTAGTCAGGCAACCGCCCATCTGAGGAGGATAGGGTGACAGCATTGACACACCAGGGGTAGGGAGGGGATGATGTGAACTAGCTTTCCCCTCGGAGAGATTCTCCAGCGCACAATGCCTGATGTGTTTTAGGTTTGTCAAATTGTCCTGGTTAAATTGCCTTTTGACAAAATCATCAACTCTTATGGAGCTCAATTTCTCAGTGTGAAAGTCACAGTTTTTCGGACCTGCAAAGAACTTACTGCCTTCCTCTTGAGGGCTCCTCTCATTCTCAGCATCATAGTCAGAGAAATAGGCTGAGTCCCTGTATGGGTTCTTATCAGTCAGGCCCTTAAACTGTAGCTCGGAGGTGCTTTTGGAAGTGCAGACCCCTTGACCCAAACCAACCTGCAGAACAAGTTCAGGCTCACCACCTCTCTCAACCCCATGGGGATCTCCAAGCTCTTTGAAGAAAAACTCTGGAGATTCGTTGTTTTCCGTGTCATAGCCGCTGTCTAGGGATTTGGGTAGGACAGGGGTATTGAAGGGGTCGGGGCTGAAGGACTGATCACAGGAGCTTACCATCGACGAGGAGAGGTTAAGTGTGTCTGCAGAGTCAGGAGTTCCCTCTAAGTGCTTCATTGGGCTTAGCTCTTCCTCCTCTACTTCAGCATAATCCAGGTTGAAGTCAGCAAAGATCCCCGAGGTAATATCTGTGATGTCATCATCATCATCTTCACTGTAGTCACCAAGCTCAACCAAGTTAAAACTGGAGTCTCTGACCCCCACTCCACTGTCCAACGCTCCGCTACTTTCCAATGTCTCTGGATAGTTTAGCCTCTTGTCTACTAGACCAACAGAGATTCCTGTTGAAACCCCCTCCCACGTGGTACCTCTCTGCTTGTCTGAGAAAGCTGCTGTTTGACCGTTCTGTGGCTCTTTGAACGTGGATGGAGACTTTATAATACATGGCTCAGGGATCATCCTAGGCTCAGAGTACTGTCTCTCGCCATTATGCAACAGTTGCTTTTCATATTTCCCCTCCATTGTTCCACCCTCTGTACCTCTGGCGTTAATACTTGAGCTGTTAAACGAATCAATACTTCTCAGATTTTCTGCAGTTGAGTTCCTTTCCGCTTGAGTGACAGCTTCGTCACTTTCTTTGTGCCATAAGTGAATGTATGAACCTAATTCCGTGGACTTGCTAGCAGCGTTACAACCAGAGTCTCCTCTTGCCTCCAAGGTGCCACACGCTCTGGAGCTGTGGAAGGTTCTGGTGGTGGCCTTGGTTAAAGACCATGATTCTGTAGTGTTAGGGTGACCAGCATATTGAAGGTCAAGATAGCTGTCTTGCCCACTGCCTGTCTGCCTGACGTCAAAGCTCAGGCTATTATTGTTTGCTGAATGATTTGATGTCCAGTTGGTGGCCTCTCCTTCAGAAAAAAGGTCATCCTCAATGTCGTCGCTTCTATGCTGGCCCACCAGCAGGCCGTCGTCAGTCCCTACATCAATGCTAATGTGGTTCACAATGGGTAGTGTCTTTCTGAGGGGACCCATCATGTTATGGCAGCTTTCATTGACGGTGCTCCGACCTGTGCTCGCTTCAAGGTAGGGATCGCAGAACCCTAAGCTGGGGCTGCTGACAGCTTGTGACAAACTGCGTGGGTTATCTAAGCGCCCGTCTGGCTGAAGAAAGTTTGATCTGGGCTTTGGCGATGTTTCAAGTTCAGACAGACAGGGCTGGCGTGCCTTGTATGCTGATGACTCTTCACAGAAGCCTGTGTCGTCCTGGCTGGATGAGAAGCAGTTGTGCAAGTTGCCTAGCTTTACATGGCTGGTGCTGGATGACTGCCTCAGCAGTGGCTCCATGGTGAGTTGGACAGTGGGGCTTGAATCAGAGTCACAGGCAGAAGATCTGTTGTTGTCAGTTGACCAGTAAGCACTGGGCTGCGCCATGGATGAACCAGTCCTGCTCTCGGAGGACAACCTTCTGCTGCTGGCCGCCAGTTCTGGGCTGTAGTCCACAATGCTATCATCATCCAGGTTAATGTTACACTCTACAGGTTCCTCTATGCGAATGTAGTACTCGCTGCTGACAGAGGGGCTGTGTGCACTCAACACTGGGACCACACCAGGGTGTTCAGGTTCATAATAGGATGGGGATAAGCCTGAGGCCAGGCTCTCACTCTTGCAGCCCTCTGAGGTGCTTCCTTTACTTGAATAGTAGATATCTTGGTAATATGGGTTTCCCTGGCCGAGTGGGCCACTGGTGGAGGAGGAGCAGTAGGGCTGCTCCGCTCGGGCCTGCTCCCACTTGTACTCAAAGTTCAAACCATGGCTGGTCTCTGTGACGGTCAGCAGGTCGTCCCCTGTGTCAGAGTGGAAACTGTCAGAGAAGTGCTCCAGGAGGGGGAAGGAGGACGAAGCAGAGGAGGCCAGCTCCACTGCTTGAGTTTGGTCTGGACTGGGGACGTCAGCCGAGGGGGGGGTAGGGGTCAAGGCTAGGGCTGTGGATGTTACTGTATGGGAGGTGCTGCCGAGTAGATTGGGTCTTAATGTGTTCCAACGTTGTTCAAAGTCTTCCTCAGCCTCACTGGAGCCTTTGGCACACAGGTATGTGACCAGAAGGTGGACTTCCTCACTGCTGGGCCTCAGCTCTGGCTGTAGCCAGCAGAACTGCATCACCTCGTACCTTGACAGAAAGAGCCACAAATGATCAGTTATAATTATCCTTACATCTGCATATCTGTTGGCTCAGAAGAACTTATGAATATATACTGGTTTTTTCATAATTAGCAAATAAGCTAAACTTAAAATGTTTTTTTAGACTAGACAAGGCAATATAAAAGAAAACCATTGGAGTAAGCATTTTGTGGCAACACCTTGAACATTTGTATGTGTGTGGTTGTTTGGCTACTCAGTTGAGCACATTTAATTAAGTGAAGAACAATTTTCAAAAAATAAATAAATAAAACATTTGGCTGGCGTCCCAGGTGAAGATAAATGAATCTACCCTGGCCAATGCCAAAGGGGATCATAAAGAATAGGGAAAGTATTGATCATCTGCCCTCGCTAGCACAGAGAAATATTGCTGGTGCAGCACCATAAGCACAAACCAATTTTAAAAACAAGACACACTGACTTGTTAGAAAATAATTGGTCAGCCTCAAGGCTTGGTAATGTATGTGGTATCAAGATAAATGACAATTTGAGAGTGAGCCTGTACATGTATAGTATGTTTTCTCCAAATGTGTGTGCAATGCATGCAGCTCTGTCTCACCAGCGCTCATCCAGGGGGAATTGGAGCAGGGGCTTGGGTAGTTTGAGCTGCTGTTCCTTCACAGCATATGTCAGCACCTGTCTGTCAGAGTAGTGTCTGTACGGCTGGTTTCCCAGCTCAAACAGCTCCCACACAGTCACCCCCAATGACCTGGAATGGGGAAATAAATATGAATTCACCACTCATAAACATGGACAATCTTTAACCTACACAAGTTTATATTTGTGCAGTAGACATACAATCATTCCATAATGAAAAACATTCAAGCAGTAATCTCCATTATTCATGGTTTGAGGATTTTGTTCCCATTTTAATAATACACAAGGAAAGATATCTTATATGTAGTATCTTATAATATCTTACATTTGTATGTTGTGAGAAAGGTGAGGTAGGTGGGGTAGTGTTATCTCATTAAACATACATTTTTCCAGGTAGTCACTCTTTAAATATCTCACCATATGTTACTGGATTTTGTTTGGTCAACGACCAGCAGGTTTCCGTGGACTTCGTCTATGAGCTCAGGTGCAATCCAGCGCAGGGGCACCCAAATCTGGTCCTGGGTTACATAATAATCATCCTATAGAGGAACAAGAAAAAACCATGTTTGAGTAACGATAGGGTGATCAATAAGAAAAGAAAGCACTCAATAAATATTACATTAAGGCAGTCTGACCTTGTATCTGCTATGAGAAAGGCCATAGTCTCCGATCTTAACTGACATTTCTGAAGTTAGCAGGCAGTTTCGCAAGGCCAGGTCACTGTCAAAACAAAGGGAAATGTCATTTAAAACAGTACATCTGAGCTGCATCAACAAACCCGTTTTTATGTATCTTCTTTAAAAGTCCCTGATCCCTCTCGATCTGCTAAAGTTAGAACAGTTTTATGTTTATTTTCGATTTCTTCTTTTTTTTCTCTGACATACACACTGGTTTAGAAAAGGTAAGAATGGAGGACAGGGTACTGTCAATAAAATGAAACCAAACCAAATATTCATTCATAAACATTGAATGTCACAATACTGACAAATACTTCAAGATACAGGGGCCTATACAGTCATTATTGCTGGAAGTGTTATGAATAATATTTTTCAGTTTTTACCAATGTTACACCCAAGTTGGTGTATTATGGTAATGTTTTTAGTGATACTTTGTTATAATTGTTTGTTAAAACATAGTGTATGCACAATGTCACTAAATATGTCTTGCAGCTATATGATTAACCATTTTTAGCCACAGCATTATCTGTATGATATCATGAAAGATGTACATGTGAAGTGTCATATAATCTGAGCATGTTAAGACAAAGGCAAAACTAAGACACTTTGTTTAATCTCACCTCCTCCACACACATTGAGCTCTTTTGCCTGGCAGCCCCTGACGGGTTGCTATGGCAGCCACCACATGGCTGCTGAGAGAGAGCGAGAGGGGCTCGCCCCCGGCAACAAAATCACTGATGCTGGAGTTTGTGACAATTACTCAGGCAGCACCAGGATGTTGTTGCAGGGAGAGGCCAGCAGGGGGCACACAGTGCATTCAGTTTTCTTTCTTCAGCAGAAACATACAGGGCGATGGAGGTAAATAGAGCTGGGGTGACTGGCAAACTGCACCTGTGTATGAAGTTGTATTTGTGGAGTTGCAGAAGCCCCGAGGCAATGTCACATGCCAGTCGCTGGAGGATCAAAGGGTCAGGAGTCTCAGAGTCAGCCACCCGACAACTGCGAAGGTAGCTCTTCAGATCACCCTAAGGGGAGAAAGGAAATGAGGATACATTAAACAACAATGAACCTAGAAAGAAAGTAATGACGCTTGCATAACTAACTGAATAAACACATGTTATATATTTAAAAATGTCCCACCAGAGGGCAGAACTCCATGACCAGCAGATAAGGAGTGACCTCTGAGCACTGAGCCAGGCACTGCAGGAGGGCCGGGTGCTGGAGGGTTCTGGCAGAGGAAATATAATATGAGAGGGTATACATTTACACAGACTGTACATACATAAATAAAACAATCATTCAGTTACTTCTTAATGCTGCATGGTGCTACTCATTAAACTGAAGGGCTGTGAACTTAGGTGAACTGACCGGTATGGCTGCACCTCCTCCAGGAACTGCATCTGATCCTGGACACTGGCACTGGCCTTCAGCTCCTTCACCACCACCTGGGTGGTGCTAAGGCCCGCATTGACCTCACCTAACAGAACCTAAGAAGTAAAATACTTTTTTTTACCCAACTCTAGCAATAAATACCAGGGTTTACGACAAACAGAATCAACATGCATTTATAGAGTTAGAGAAACAAACAAACAAGCAGAATGAAAATAGTGCATGAGCAATATGTAAGTAGTGTTACAGCCCCATTTACTATAAAACAATATGTCCGGAATTTACTGTGACTGTGAGTTTCAGCTTCTCTCTCTAACTCAAGTGCCAAAGATTAGCTTCGCTAGAATGAGATCATCATCACATTACCCTCGCATTCTTCAATGAGTAGAAAGCACATTAAAGTACAGTGAATACAGTAACAAAGAGGCAATTCAAACAATTAAAGCAACTACTACAAGGTGTCTTTTCTGCCCCTGAGTCCACTTTGTGATTGTGTGTATGTTTAGGGAAAAATAAAATCCTGTTTTACCTTGCCAAACCAGCCATGTCCAATCTCCTTTAGATAGAGTAGACTATGGCGGCCGAGGTCTGATGATTTCAGCAGCTGGACTGTAAAGGAACAGTAAGAAAGACATAGGATTACTCAAAAAAGACACTGTTGTAGTGATTAAGAAGTGATAAAGAAAAAGGAAAGGTTTACAATAATCTAAGTCAAAAAAGAAAAATAGAAGTTTATGATTTGAACAGAAATGGACAGGACAGAGAAACAACACTGACAGAGATCAGAATAAATAGAAACTCCTCTCAGCCAGATAATAAACGCACATTGTCCTAAATAAAAAGTGCCATCACCTAAACAGGAGAATAAGCCATAACAAGAAGAAGTCGACAATTTGTGCACGAAATTCAAATACCTCCATGGATCTTCATTGTTTAAGAAGGTAGATGATTGTGTGGAGAGAAAAGATGGTGGCGGAGCAGTGGAGCGGCCAGCCACTCCGAGCACCGTGACAGGGACTGAGTCCGGCTCCCATGCAGGTTAAAGTACTGGTTCAGAGTGTGAGAACCGAGAGCCCCGTGGCCCCAGCCCTAACCCCAGGCTTCTTGGTCTCATTGTGTGTATTTGAGAAAGACCCCACGATCTCAGTGTGTGTGTGAGAGAGTCTCGGCAGGATTTAACCCTCCGAGCCCTCGCACAGCTGAACAAGCTCGCCACGCTGCCTCTCCCAGTCTGTCCCGAGCTCATCCTCCAACTGGGACACACACAAACACACATACTGTCCTCTTCTGGAGCTCGCCAGCTGTCGAGCAAACACCGAAATCCTTGGTTTCCAGACTTCACTTCATACAGTAATCGTAGCGAGATAGAAACAGCTTGGAGTCAGCCGACCAATCTGCCGCCTGTTCCCCGCAGGAGGATTTCTGCCCTGGGGGCTATATTTCTCTGAGACTCTGGTCAAGTATCACGGCTGGTGTGACCGTCACGCATGTTGGTAGCGTGCAGACTGATGCGCCAGCTCTGCGTGCAGCTTCAAGAACCCTGGTAGGGAGATAAGGCCAACATAATGCCCCCCTGTCACCCAGGACAGCAGCATTCCTCAGCCAAACAGGACACAAACCCTGCTCTGTCAGATGCAGAAAAGACCTCTGTCACACACACTCGCCACCCCTATCTCAAGCGTCCCCTCCCCACTCTTAGGGTCCTGGTGCATGCCACCACCCTTCCCCTGTCTCTCCTCATTCTGTCACAGACCCCTCACTGTATTCTGCCCATAATGCCAGTCCTCCACTGGTGCGTTCCACGGACATTTCAGTCCAGCCTTATGCTCACCCACTGCCCAGCCGGCCTAAATCGGGGCCATTGTTCGACTCGCTCACTCACACGCTCATGCAGCGTCTCCTGGTACCCAGTGGACACAACACACACACACACACACGCTCATGAGCAGACACACACAAGGCCCATTCTCCACTAGAACGTTGGGCAGAGGTTGTCACGGTGATAACAGACCCACACTTCTCCACCAGCCCTCCCTGTCAGAGAAGTTAGAAAGTGAAATGATTCCGAATGTGGAATGTGTGAGCGTGAGTGTGCATTCCCGTCCTCCTCATGGCATTCCCAGAGAAGAGGCTGGGGTCCAGTGAGACTGTGGGATCAGTGGGCCCGTGGAATTATACACACACAACCGCTTCACACACACTCGATGCATCGAGCCTCTGTCGTGGGTTTGAAGGCTTTACACGACCTCTTGAATAAAAGATTAGACCAACAAGTTAAACGTGAGGCTGTCCGATCAATGGCAAACATTGTAATGTGTGTTCATACAGATGTAGAAGTGATATAGAATACGCTATTCATGGTGAGAGTATAAACCATATAACTTGTGTTTCTGTTAAAGAGGCCATTACTAGTCTCATTTGCTTCGTGTATATCACTGTGGGGGTTGATAATTGAAACATGTGCATGACGTTATTATCAACGTCATGCACATGCTCAGTTTTTGACCTGCAGCTTATATGTGTAATACTTTTGAAGTGTGATATCATTCCTATAATCCTCTCAATTGTTAAGCATGATTATGACAATTTTGCAAAAGTTAAGAAATTGGAATGCTGTTAAAATTCTAAATTCATCAAACTTTCAGTGGTCAATATGTAAAATTGCCAAATAAAAATAATACCATGTTTTCTGTATGTACATAATGAGTAAGAGGCCATTCTCTGTGACTCAGTGAAAGGAAACATTATCCCTCGTTTTACATCTCGTCTCCTTTGCTGTCTATCCGTTCCTCGCCCTGCAACACCTGCTCCAATCGTACAGCGGTAGCTATGGAGGATGGAGCAAAGGCTGGTGATTGGCTGCACGCCTAAGGCTGCCTTGTCCAATCATTGCTGAGGCTTACATTCTGGGATGCTGAGCCCCAACTCACCTCCCTTCTGGCTAGGCACGGCGCAGCTCAGACAGCCAGTGAGTCATGCAGGGAGAGGCACCCAGGATCTGGCTAATACTGAGATTCACACACAATGTACATGCATACACATTTTAACAGGCTGGGTTTCAGACAGAATGACCTGCAGAAAGAAAAAAAAAAGTCTGTGACATGAGGCTGAGGAGGATCATGGATGTAGAAATAAACACACCAAAATAACCGGGATATGTGCTGACATGTAAGATTTAAGTAAAACAGGAGTTACAAATTAAATGTACAGTAGCATGCACTGAAATAATGTAAGTAAAAGACGTTTTTCCTTGTACGATGTGAGGGTCTAAGGACAGAGGGTGTCGTTTTCTCATACTGATATTCTGCACAAACTGTGCTGTTATATTTGCTGTAAAGTCTCCTTACTGTAAGGTCATTATTATATGTACAGCACTTTGGCTCGACCAAAAATCGTTTAAAAAATGTGCTATATAAATAAAACTTGATTTGATTTGATTTGAATGTACACCGAGGTATAGTCCGATTCCTTCCTCTCCAGTTTCTCATACACTGATTTCGAAATGCATTTTAAAATGGGCCGATGTCTGTCCCTCGTTAAGAGAGGGCAAGAAGAAAGAAGAGATAGAATCCAACATACTGTACTTCATTAAAGAGGCCATGTCTGTTCCAGCTACAGTAAGGTAGACAAAAGGTTCCTAGTTGTGTGTCATGCTGTAGAGAAGTAACAAGCTGTTTGAATAGCCTGTTAGTGTGGCAGCTGTTTCTAAAGAGCCAAGAAGGAATAATGATATACGCATTGCAGGTAGCAAAAGCTGAACAGTAAATCAGGTCATTCAAAGAGCGAGCAGATATAACTTAAAGGTGTTATGAGTTGATAGTGTTGTGCAGTTTCTTACTGGATCTGCCAGGCTGTTTGGAGACAGGCAGGGAGACCTCAGTGAGGGGAAGGATGTAGACCTCGGGGCCATTCTGGGAGGAAGGCGAAGCCAGGGAGAGATCTGCCTGGTACTCCTCTCCCTCAGTGTTTTCAAACTCCTGTTGCAAAGACACATGCTGAAATGAGTCATCCACTCGCAGCCATCCTACCACTGACATGGTGGGAGACAATGGCTCAACTGTAAGGGCATTCAAATGCACTGGGGCTCGCCCACCAGGCTATATGCATAAGTCATGTACGTTGTGGGGTGTATTGTGTGGGTCACAACAAAGACGCTGTAGGGGGAACACACTAATGTGCGTGTTTAGACTGCATGCACAAAGAACGTCTTCTTTTCCGTTCTGTCTTTTATTTCTTCCTTCCATTCAATCACCGATACAAAGCAAAGTTTATATCATTAAAGCATGTCAAACTGAGTCTTAAAAATGTTAAACCTAAACAAGGTTATACACTTCAAATGCTCTTAGTGAAAAAACATGAATTCATACATTTGTGAATGTGTGAGTGACAGACATGTCACTACAGAAATGGCCATAGAGTACATATTAAAAGTGCTAACACACCAGATTGTAAGATGGAGACATATTTGATACTTTGCACATTGATAACAAATACATCTTTAAAAACGTTTTGCATAGTGCTTGATGTTGTTTCTTTTTTTCTTCCTCTACATGTAGCTTAAAAAACTGATCTGTCCCACTAACCAAAGTGGCTATTATTTAGTGCTTTCAACGTAGATCCAACAAAAAGGCAGAATATTGAAACGACACGAAAGGATTTAATTTAAACAGTACACAATACAAATAGCATAATCTGCAGCATGAAGTAGATCACCATGTAGATTATTGTCAGGGTGAATGAGTAAGAGCTCATATGAGACCTTAAGAGTCTTACATGTTTCTCTGGGTTTTTTCTTATGTGTATCTGCAGAAACAACAACCAAAGATTCTGCATTGGGCAGATTTAATTTGCTACCACTGTCCAACATTATAACGTCAGATATGCACTAAATATGGCCCCACACATCTATATAGTCAATAGATGTTTTTCGAATAGATGGGCACAGAGGATCAAATGATGGATACAAACAATTGAACCACAAACGTTTATTTGCATTTCTAATAGAAAGTTGAAGACAAACCAACTATGCTGGGGGACAAGTCTGGTAAAAGTGCTCTGTTCACAATCCATCCGTTGGTTATTAATGAGCTGTTACCCACAACAAGCCTATCTCCCACTTTCAGTACCCACAGAGTTAAACAAAGAAGTAAACAGTTGCTACTGTGGGTAGCTGGATGGAATATATCAAATATTTGAATGGCTCCTTGTGTGGGTGTGTGTGTATATTTATATGTACAGGTGTTCACAAGTGTGTGAGTGTGTGTGTGTGTGCGTGTGTGTGTGTGTGTGTGTGTGTGTGTGTGTGTGTGTGTGTGTGTGTGTGTGTGTGTGTGTGTGTGTGTGTGTGTGTGTGTGTTTGTTTGTGTGTGGTGAGAACCATCTGCCACTCTCCTCAGAGCGAAGTGTGAAAGCGAGCACCTGGCTGTGAGTCAGCATTGCATAGCTCCCCAGAGAGCCTTCAGTTTAGAAAGCACTTAATACCCAGCCTCACACTACGCGCTCCATAGTAAGAGCACCGTGATGGAGAGGAATAATGAAGCTTTTTTGCACAGCGCAGCGGTGCAGTTTTGCAGTCCCACATGAATGCACACTATACAAGTGAGATGTTGAGTGACAAGCAAAATGTGATGTTTGCTGCCAGACTTAGAGCGCAAGATGACGATTTGATTGTCTGTTTTGTCTGGAATTATTATAAGCTATGATCAAAACAACAAACATATGTTGTGTTTACACAAATCACAACTTGTGGTTTCTACCATATTAGCTTAATCCATTTAAATATGAATATTTGACACTTTAATTGACTGAGATCTGAAAGTTGTGCTCATCTGACAGAAGATGTATTGTTAGCATCAGTTACAATGTGTTTCCTTGTGGATGTTATCCTTTCATTGTCTTTTTCTCAAATGTTTAACACAGAAACTATTATGTTACGAATGACCCACAGCTATGAGATAGTCCCCTCTCAGTCAAGCTTCACGTGAATACACAGGGACTAACTGCGCTCAAATTATTGCTGTTGTTTTCCACCTACAGTAAAGGCACTTCTAACAGCAGCCATTTTGACTCCGGTGAAGTTCATATATTTAATCATGGTCCCATTCTATTTAGTGTGTCGCCTCCACTCCAGTGAGCGAGCATGCACAATACCAAGACCGTGGCTAATCGAAATGAAACAGGACCACAGTTATTTTATTGATTACACCTGTGTTACCACATATGAAAAGCACCTATGTATTTCTTCAGCTGCATAACCTTAATACGAAAAGATAGTTGGCTAACAGATAAAAAGGAAATGCGTTTGCCATCCTTTGTCTAATGATTTTACTAGTGCCCTCGTAATAGGCAACCTTTCAAAAATAGCTTTACAAAACTATACTCACCTCTATAACTATATCTGTGTGATAAATACAAAGCCCAGCACCGTTTTAGCAACAGTTTCACCCTGAACTCTCAGTGTAAGACGATACCCCTGCCTGCAGGAATCAATAGTGTCACATTGATATTTTAAACGGGCTCATGGTGGTGCTTTGATTGAATGACTGCAGTTTAAGCAGCTGCTAGATATTGCTGTTTTGCAGCTAGAGCCATCTTCTTTTCATTATTTTGTTCTCAGTAAAAAGCAGGCCAAAGGTCAGCAGGCACAGAACAAGACTCGCACTGTTCCTGCAGGTTATTAAAACACACTTTTACATAATGAGGCAGAGGCAATCTGGCATATGACAGAGAGACGTGGACACACGCGATACACACAGACGAGAACAATCCGGAAGTTGTTAATGGTTCCTCTCTGTGCTGTGCTCGTTAGGCTCTCTGTCATCACTGCAGCATTAATATACTACAGCCTGAATGCAGATGCACAGACCTGATATCATCTAGAAACAAACTGCTCTGTTCTCACCATCTCTCCTTTCCTCTCCTCTGCTCTCTGCAGCTCTAATCAACAACAACAACAACAGAAATATGCCTTTCATTCCTTCTAACACGAGCAGCACAATTCCTTTAATGTATTACTGAATCATTTGCACAAGTGATCTTCACAGAAGGCTGTTCAGTCAAGGCTGTCATTTATCCATTCTCCAGACAAGATACAAACATTAAAATGCAATACCAAAATGAAAAATGTGTTTCAATGCTAATGCCATAATGTGAGAAAAAGTAAAGTTAATGAGGATACTTGTAAAGACAAGGAGCAGTACAACGAATCGAGGTTTTTTCCTCTCTGTCTCTCTCTCTCTCTATCTCTCTGTCTCTCTCTCTCTCTCTCTCTCTCTCTCTCCATACGCCCCCTGCCTGTGTCAGTCTCTGTTAATGCTCATCAGTCGCTCAGCACTGATGTTTGACACAGCATGGCTGACTAATGATGGCAGCTGAATGCAACACAGAGACAAAGTGTGCCAGCCTGGGATGAGATGGGTACTTGGTTGCACCACTCGCATACAATGAGGCAATGGTCCTTTGGCATTTACGGTTATGAAGGTTTTGGAGATGTTTCAATACGAACATGATCCTGCCATCTCCAGAGAATTGGTCCTAACGTAAAATATTAGAATAGTACAATGAAACCGCAAAATGTTTAATGATTGAAAATATACTGAGTATCTTTGGATTCTGGACTGAGAGAGTGGTCCTCTTCAGGTTTAAAAAAATATACTGTTTTGTTTTTTAATCGACAAAACAACTGATTGAGAAAAACTATTAGCAGGTAAATCCACAATGCCTGTTGCAGCCCTTATATTTTATTGTAACTTTTTCTTTTTTTATTAGGAAATTATCATCTTTTAAAATACCCAGTTAAAAACAGCAATGTCCCTCTCTGGTTTTCTGTTTTTAATTTTGCACTCATACATCTTACTTATTTTATAACTGAAAACATTTTTTGATCAGACAACAGAACATAGGGCAACAAATGACTAGCGAAATATTAAATATTTTTGAGTTTTGGATTGTTGGAGACAAAACCAAAATGATCTTTAGGGCCATACTTTGTGTCAAACTCATTCTCACTTGGTGGCAGACTTAAATGGCGTTGAATGGCAATTAAATATGAATGGCTTTTAAATATGTGATCCTTGTCTGTACAGTGTGTGTTAACATCATTCCAAACATTTCATACATTTAACGTGTTAGTCCTTTTTCAGTTGTTTTCATTGTAAACACTGAGCAGGATCCATGGTGCACACACTGTTTGTGCTCTCCTCACCACCTCCAGCAGGGGGCAGCAGGTAGCTCACCTTGAAGCCAATGTCGCCCTTCTTGCAGCAGAGGCAGGCCAGCATGAGGAAGACGAAGGTGAAGAGGCCAGAGAAGGAGACAGCTACCACGGCCAGAGATGAAGGCCACGACAGCTCGCTCAGCGGAGCCCCATCTGCAACATGGGAGGATAATGCCACATTTAAAATAGTGAAGGAGATCAAATAACAATCTGTGGAGTCATACAGGAAATTGAAAGCTAAACAGAGATAAAGGTGATTTGTATGCACACAGATGATTTGTGACCGTTTCATTGGCAGCTTGAATAAAGATGGATGTGACTCATAATCATTCTCTTCTGCTTTCTATTCATCGCTACAATCTGTGACTGAATAGGAATCTGCTTTTCTGTAGTTTGAAAACAGTATTCACCATGCAAACTGACTCATGGAGGTAGAACGTTTCATACCACCCACAAACACCTCGACTCCCTCTGGATAATCATTTAATAAAGCAGCAGACCAGGTGTCGTTACTCAGTCTGCTCAATGTAAACAACTGATGAATGAAAACTCTCACTGGGTATGTATACTGTAATTTGCTTTTCATTTTCTGAAATGCCCCGCAAAATTGGCCTCAGAGCTACAATTCTAGATGCGCTCAGCGCTCTTAAATCCCAGCACATATTGAGACGTAGTTGTTTGAAATAAATGTAATTTTGTTGTGGGCCTGCAACCAATAAACAGAGAGTACACACAATCTCCTACTTATTTTTACATTTTGCAAGTTATTTACCATCTGTCTGTGTCTTCCTGTGTGCATATGTGCCGCACACATGTGTCAGTTTAACTTTAAGCCTCTAGTAGCTGAGGAAATCCATATTATCTGATTTACAGTTTTCAAACTCCTGCCAGATCACATGAGAGAGAAGAGAGGAAGAAGGAAAGAGAGAGAAAGAAAGAAAGCAAAAGATGGAAACTGGATTGGAACATATTCATTCCCCAACGCTCCTATGCATCACACTCAAATCCTCTAATGTAGTATCCATCTCATAGGACGCCTCTACAGGGAATATAACATGCTCACACTGTAGCTATATCTGACCCTGAGTCATATTTAATGTCTTAATAAGCTAATGGAGCATGGATTCTCTCATTTGCCTTTATGTTTAATTTAGGGTCCCATTATTTTTAACTAATAGTCCCTTCAAACGTTTTAACTAGTCATGTTCATTCAGGAGCAAGGAACGCCTTAGATTCTCTTCCCGATGCAGGTTCATATCTGTAAAACTCATGACCACTGTTTGAACCGCAGACTTTGTGTACAAAGGACGATGTAAATAACCCTGGTGACATCACTTTGCCATAGAATAAATCGTACAACTCGTCCCAGAAGTAAATCAATCTTTGCGTTTAACCAGTTGAATCATTATTAATACATTATGGTTATTTATCTTATTTGCTCCACTTTGTGGTTATTATAAATGTGTTGGTTGTTAGGAATTCCTGGTTAATAAACAGCAATTACATGATTTCTTTTTTTTACCATGTTGTTAAATAAATGTGTATTGTTGCGAGTTCTCAATCTGTGAGGTTTTTCTCACAACATGAATTGTTGAAGAATTAGAATCTGAAAAATGTTGAACTCCAAATCTAACTATCCAACCACAACTCTCCCATCTGTCAACATAACTTCTTTGGAAATGCCAATGTCCCAGGCCTGCAGCTAGCCATTTTGACTCTCTTTCTCTGTGTGTTGTAAAACCGTTTATCAGAAAAGGAAAAGGATTGATATTTGTCTCCATTCCAGGATTCCTTTCATTTCCCTATTCTTGAATGGACAACACGATCATGACACCTCTGTGTCTATTGGGTCAACTCGGCCTATTGGTATGTGATGCTTGTGTGTGCATGTTGTTTCAGCTCAGAGAGGGAGACTCAGCGGTCCTGACCCAGATGGCTGTGGGGAACAGGCTGTTCCAGAGCCGACAGCTCCTGTGGCCCATGCAGCACCGCTCCAGCTGAAGGTTGACCCGGAGGTCACAGCCACAGAGCCTGCACTCATACTTGCACATGCAGACACGCACAGTCGCACACACAACTGCAGACCCTTTTCCCCTCATATCCTCTGGATATTTTTAATGCCACAGGAACCACAGTTTAATTGCCAAAAAATATACTATTGTAGCATATTTCTGCAGCTTCCTCATTACTATAGCAAGCGTTCTATTTAAATGGGCCCACATCAAAGGCAAAATAAATATGCATATTTGAATGTAAGAGCTTCTTTTCATCTGCATATTAAATAACACAGCTTATTTTAATCATTTATAACCTTGTTTTCTATTTAAATGAATGCTGGTAGTAAGTGTGTTATTGGAATTTTGCTCGACAACACATATTAGTTGATTACTTGCAGTTTACGGTGCAGTAAACCTCATGTCCCCTATTTATTTCCTCACTCTTGGAAATAACAGTGAGGCACATTTGTTCTGGTGCCTTGTATACTGGCACTCTCTCCCCTCTATATCGCTGTATCATGTTGTGAAAGATTCTGTGTATGTCTGTGTGTGTTTCTGAAGTGAAAAATAGGGCAAGCTAATCGAGCAGGGCCCTTTCAGGATTCACCACAGACCGCAACACAAAGTCTGAGTAGATGGTGACACGACACATTGTGTTGAGGCTGACAGGAGAAACAGGGCTGAGTATTAAATATTTAAAGAATGAAAACCATCTATAATGTACATGACTTATTCCTCTGGCATTATACAGCCAAACGACCGTTTTCATTTGAAGGACATTTAGCACTTCAAACTGTTATAAGCAATTCAGTAGAAGGTGTTTAGCATGTTTTATCTTAGGGGAACCGTACAATGACATGTTTGGTCATTGGAAATTAAATGGATGAATGGATGTTAGACAGGGATGACATGCTAAGAGATTATGGAATTAAGGTAAAAAAAAGGACACAACAGAAAATACACATAGAAATACAGTATGGCCTGTTTGTGCTCTGGTTACTGATTCCATCTTTTGCACACCATCTATGTTTAAATCATAGGCAATGAGCTGGAAATGTCTATTTTAATTGCATCTTTTTATAATAATGTTTAATGCAACGATGCAACCACCTGACAATTGTCGAGCCTATAAGCACTGATGAAGCAGCCAAGTGCAGAACAGAGGATAAACTTCACTTTTTCTCAGATAATGAAGTAATAACTGACATTTGCATCCACTCTCAATTTGTTTTGTAAGTCAAATGACTGGGGCCCCTGTAAAGTAGTTAGAGCAGCCCATGTGTCTTCTACATGTGGAACAAGAACTGTGTTTGCATTCATAAAACCACAGCTGAGTCACAGCAGTACCATGCACATGAATAGGGGGCTGTTTCCTTTCATGCAGTGCAGTTGTCTTTCTGAACAGGACCTGAAATCTGAAACCATTGCTCTCTTCTGGATAAAAATAAGAGAACGCTCAATCTGCTTCAGTTTTTATTATCACTTAATGGACGAATAAAAGGATGACTTTTGAATCAAGGTTGGCAGGCACCATACACGCATTTCCAAGAGCGTGACGGAACTCCGGGACCGAATGATCGTGGTGAATATGCCCCAAGACTTGGAGAAAGTTGCAAATGCAGATTATTTGTGCTTCTTTACTCATAGTTTTAGAAACATGACCAGGAAAACCTTTTTAAAAAAACAGATGGATAGATAATGCACTAAATTCCTCATCCCCAATTGTCAGTTAACCTATGCTTCCCTTGTACTGGTGCAGCTTGAATCATAACCATTATTTCGCTTCACCAGACCTTTAAAACGTTTTTATTTGCCACAGAAAACCTAATATGATCATCCCGTAAAAACACCAGTGTCGCACAATCTTCATACTGTAAGTGCGACATTTGAAGAATCCATCGTCCACTCCCTGAGAAGAACTGTGAGAGAGCGGTCGCTCTGGGTCCTCCATAAATATTTGAGAAGCACACACATTACTTAACCAGCTGCACAGCGAAATGAAAATAAAGCACTTAAATCCAGGCTCAAACCCGCTTTATTAAAAAGCTGTCTTCAGGACTAGAGGAAGATGAGCCATGTCCTGACAAACGGGGAAGGGGAGGGCTGCGATGGGGGCAGCCTGCCACCTCCACAATTCAGCCTGCCGCAGGAGAGGAGGCAGTAGGATGACAGGAGGGAGGAAGAGAGGAAACATGAGTTGGTGTAGGGAGGGTGAATGAATGCGGAGGACCAACACTGTTGCATTGTATCTACCAAAACTGATCAATACAAGGCTTGCTTCATTAAGTGTGACCTTCCACGCTGTCAGATTACAGCCACACCATGTAATACAATGCTGAATGGGGATGGACAATTCAAGTCATCAATTACTTTAAAAAGAATAAGTGGTGTCTCTTGCAGTCACAGAGCAAGAGCTAATATATTTTAAACATGCAACTAAGTAATAGCTTTAAAAATCCAACAGCTATTATAAAGAGTGAGAGAGAAATAAAGGCATGTAGAGATGGGGGCCCATGGAGGAAGCAGGAATGCTCAATGTTATGGTGCGTGTGTGTGTGTGTGTGTGTGTGTGTGTGTGCGTGTGCGTGTGCGTGTGTGTGTGTGTGTGTGTGTGTGTGTGTGTCCATGCGTGTACAAGATAAGAATAGTGGTGTGTTAAGCACAGCCACTGAGCTTTTCATGGTAGGTCGTAAATAAAGCATGCAGCAGTGAGGTCGGGCTTGCTGTTGCTGTGCAGCTGCAGCGGGCGGCTGAAGAATTTGAACGTCAGGTCTACAGCTGCTGGGATATTTACTACCTCCTATACACGATAGAGCTCATCGTACATTCAACAAATCTGTTCCAAATGGATACGTATAGGAGAGGGAGTGAGGACAAACAGTGCAAGGAAGGCTCCAGAGAGAAAAAAAGGGGATTTTAGTCAAGGTAGAGTTACAGGATAATGCTTCCCACACTTATCAGAGGCCAGGGCCGTGCTTTGTGTTCGCATTCACACACGAGCACAAGAACGTGAACCCGCACAGGAAGCCAAGTCAAAGTGTTGCACTGGGCTAACTTTAGTTTTTTTGTTGAAACTGAGAGCAGTGGGCTGTTGCAGCAAACCCATCATTTCCAACTTTGGAATTTTTTTTGACTATTACATACAGAAATATGTGT